AACAGGTTTGTGTGCAGCAAAAAGTATCTGTGAGCAGTTCTGCTTAGAAGTGACCACAGGCTAGCAACGCTCTTAGCATCCAGTATATTGGATTCACTATTCTCATAACTAAACAACTAAGTTTGGTGCAGGACTTTTTTATAGAAAAATAACTGAAATAGCTTTTCAGCATGTCCTTCATTGAAACAGAAGAGGCTAAGTGAAGATACTCAAGCTTTGAAAGATACTTTTGTTCTTAAATATTAGTGTATTCGAGATTTTGTATTTTCATTTGTAAGGACAAACTACCAAATTTTCTAAAAATGCATTGGAGAAACTAAAGGAGAAAAGTAATTTTAATCATTTTAGAAATGATGCAAGAGTTCAGAAATGATGCAAGAGTTCAGCACTGTTTATTTGAAGAGGCAGCGGTTCTCAATTGTCCCATCAGAATCATCTATCTGGGAAAGCAGGTGCACTTTGCCTAGTTGAAAACCATTGTTGAACAGAATATGGATGTCTGTCTTAAGTCATTTACTGCGATAGTTGGTGATGGTAAGATGAAATTCCTCTGATGTTAATAGAATAAGATAACCAAATTGAAATTCTGTGGTTTCCTTGAAACCACAGGGTATTTCTTGAAAGCTGTGTGTTCCTTAAATGGAAAGGGGGTAACAATAGAATGTGCTAAAATCAGAGAAAAAAAACATATTACCATAGGCAACCACTAGATGGTGCCACGAATTCATTTCTGTCTCGCCAGCAAGCAGCTCTGTTCAACCAGGTCCTCCAAATGGCCCACGTAAAATTACAAGGGAGCCCTGCCACAGGGAAGCAGTGTGCTTGGTATGCGATTGTTAAGGGTTTAGAATGAATGCCTTCTGTGCACACCTCGCCCCTCAAAATGCACAACAGGTCAGTAATAAGAAGCCCCCACTGAAATATTTCTTGTAGGGATGTAGGTGACAGAAATCTTCAGAATTACCGAATCCCCAATACACCAGGACGACCATCTGACTACAAAGACTTCTGTGATTTCCTGGCTGATGCATACCTGAAGGTCCATTACTGACCCCAAAGTCATTACAAACCCAGGAAGATCCAAGACCTCCTAACCCCAACTTCTTTTCTCTTTTTCTCCTCTTTCCCCTCCTCTTCCTCCTCTGCCTCCTTCTTTTTGTTTTGTGTTTGTTTTTGTTTTCTTGAGAGAATTTCGCTCTGCAGTTCAGGCTGGTCTTGAACTTGAAGCAATCTGCCTGTCTCCGCTAGTGCTAGGATTACAGGTGTGCCCACCATGCCTAGCTCTTCTTTTTGACTGTGCTGGGATGGAACCCAGGGTCATACATGTTAAGTAAGCTGTCTACTACATGCCCGACCTGGACCAACTTCTTTACAACCAGGTGAGTGCCTCAGCCTTGCACACAGGCTCATCCTGATTATACCCTCACCCAAAAATGATGATCTCTGCCCAGCATCCGTGGGACAAGTGCACATGAAGGCACAAGTACAACCCCAGGTGGAATCATCCACAAGTTCACATTCCATTGTCACCCCATCAAAGTCTCATTCCTAACTCCCTTTCCTCTGCCTACTTTGCTCCTCCCGAAACCTCTCAGCTGACCTGCACACATTCATTCACTTGGCCTTCGATTCTTTTTCTTCTGTTCCTCAGAACACTGCTCTCCTAACCCCAGCCCTGACACACTAGTGCTTCTGGCAGGGGTCACCTATCATTTGCATGCAAACCATATGTAAAGACCAGGCCATACTTTGAAGCATCTCATATACCTTCCTGTGCGTCAAGATGTGTGTGTGTGTGTGTGTGTGTGTGTGTGTGTGTGTGTGTGTGCACATTTCTATGGATATGGTAGCATGTGCCCAGTTTAAGTATGTATTTCCTTGTTTTGTTCCTCTAGTGGAGTGTGTGTGCTGGCTGCTGTGTGTGTGTATGTGTTATTTTTGTCAGCTGCTGTTTATCTTGGTGTGTGTGTCTATTTCTGGCAAGTCAGGTGGTATCTGTTTTCAAGATGCGGGTCTGTTCACTGTGTCTCTGGCGGTGATGCGTGTATGTGCGTCTCTGGTGGGTGCTGACTGGCGTTTCTGTGTGTCAGATGATGACGTGTGTATATTTGTTTTGTAGTATGAGGTAAGTTTCTGTGAATGTGGTGGGGTGCAGGATGTATGTTGATGCTTTATGTCCAGTGGTGTGTGTATGCTATCAAGGGTTGTGTTTGGCAAGCAGATTGTGACGTGTCTCTGTGACAGGATGTACATATGCAGGATATCTGTCTCTTTTCAGTGTGTCACAGGAACTACGTCTGTCCAGCAGCAGCTGACGCCTCAGCGTGCACCTCTGATGTGATCTGTTTATATGATGTGTTTCTGCCTTTCTCTGTGTCTGGTGAAGTGTGTGTGTGCTGCAGGAGTATCTGCCTTGAGTTCCCATGTCTAGTGGCTATATTGTACATTTCAGTGTGCACATCTTTTGTTTCCATGAGTCATGGATGTATCCTGCAGGCTGAGTTCCTGTTTTACTGTGGGTTGGCCGACACATATGTGAGTGCAGTGTATATCTCTCTCCACACGCATGTGCAGTATGTCAGTGGTTTTAAAAATGGTGGACTGTGCATTTGTGCTGAAGGGTGGGTACCCATTTCTGGCCAGCAGAGGGTTGTGTTTGTGTCTAGCAGCTTCTGTGTGTTGAAGGCAGATGTGTGTGCAATGACAGATGAATGTCTGTTTCTTTGGGTACAGCTGTGGGAGGTACACAGGGCCTCCCTGTGTACCTATCTCTGTCTCAGAGTTCTGGTAGCTTGTGTACGTGTGTGTGTTTCAGACTGAATGTGCTGATGTTTGTGTGTGTCTAGTGGTGAACATATGTGTATTGCAGGGCAAGTGGCTGCTGGTTTGGCTTTGTGTTTGTAGGCGGCCCTGCCTCTTTGTGTGATGTGTGCTGCATCCCTGCTGGAAACCAGACTGAGCCTAGGCCCTTCTCCAGTCTCCACATTCCTTCGTGCTCTGTGCTACAGAAAATATTTGCATTTTCCACGACTCATAATTTTTCCTCCTCAATCGCTACCAGATGTGGGTCCTGTGGTCCCCATCCCCATGGCAACGGAGGTTCCAGCAGCTGCGGTTCCCTTTTGTGGCGCCTGCCCCTGGAGCTGGCACTGCTGTGAGCCTTGAGGGGGTGGGGAAGAGCTGGTGGCTTTGAAGGCAGAGGAGAGTTGAGGGGACCCTCCTGGGGTAGGAAGAGGGCAATGGAGACTGAACACTGGGAGAGGGGGTTCCTGCTCTGTGAGGTGCCCACTGAGGAACTCCACAGGCTGGGCTTCAGATGTATGAAGGGCTCATGGAACAGGGGGAGGAGAGGCCCCAGGAAACCTTGGTCACTGAGATTCCCCTAGTCTCAAATTATGCTGGTCCAGGCTGGGGGGGACAGAGCAGAATTAGGGATTGGGGGATCAGGGAGCAGCAGCATTGGAGCACAATGGTTTTGTTGGAGGGGGAACATATAGGTAGGCGGGCAGCCTAGCTGGGGGAGGTGACGCACGCCTCTAATCCCAGCATTCAGGAGGCTGACTCAGGAAAACGAGTTCAAGGCCAGCCTAGGCTGCATAGTGAGTTCAAGGCCAGTCTGGACTATGTAGTGAGACCCTGTCTCGAAAGAAAGAAAGAAAGAAAGAAAGAAAGAAAGAAAGAAAGAAAGAAAGAAAGAAAGAAAGAAAGAAAACAAAACACCAAAAGAAAGTTGTGGACTAAACCCGCGAACTGCCTACCTCTGTATCCCCTTGTGTCAATGTCCTGCCCTTGCTGGCCCAGCTTATCTTCTTACCCTCCTGGCTGACTCTGAGCCTGTGTCATCAACTCCAGTAGTCAGCGTGGCTTGGTGCCTAAGTAGATCAGAGCCCAGCCAGCCACAGGGTCACAGCTTGGAGGGTGCCCAGCCAGCCAAAGGAAGCAGTGTGGCCCAGAGGCAGGCAGTCCGTGTCCCATGCACTGCCTGGGCAGAGCAGACACAGGGACTGCATGGCCATCAGCTGTTCTGATGTCTTCCCCCGCTGGAGCAGCATGCCATCTCCGTTTGAGTGACTGTGCCCCTGTGTAGCTGACCGAAGTGGACCAAAGCCTGCAAGTCCTGCAGCATTAGGCAGACAGTGCAGCTGGGTTCTGGGCTGCAGGTCGGATGTAGGGAGTTAGTGGGAGGAGATTTTCTGAATCAGAAGACTTTGAGCTGAGCATCAAAAGATGGGGAAGAAGAAAAAGAAGCCTGCTAGATAGGCAGGAAGAAGGGGAGTCCAAACAGCTTCTGGAACTCCAGGAAACATTTGGAACCGTGGAAAGATTAAAGTATGTGGCTCGGGAAGGTCACATCGGAGGCTTGCCTCTGGCAGTGAAGGTGCTGGGGAACAAAGGGTCACAGATGGAAGCCGGGTCAGAGGGCAGTGTGGCCAGCAGAGTGCTGGGGCTCAGCCCAGGGAGGTTCCCCTCCCCATCCCCTCTGCCTCTCTGGCAGGCAAGTGAGGAGTTTCCGGCTGAGGACAAGGAGCCCATTGAGGGGGACAGCAGGGCTCTGTGCAGAGGCAGACCTTCTTGTTTGTGCGAGATGAGGTCTGGCTGGAGGCTGCACCCTTGGCCCCCTGGCCCCTGGCCCCAGCCTCTGGCCCACCCCAAAACAGCTCTGACCTCCAAGTTCAACAGAGGCAGCCCATGGGAAAGGCACCGAACAGAAGCAGCTCCCACTGCCTGCGGCTCCCAATCAAGGGATTCCCTACCCCGACCTGCTCTGAGCCATTCTTCCCGGGTGGCCAGGCCAGGCTAGGCAAGCCAGGGGAGAGATCCATAAACTTTGATAAACAGATCAGCGAAGGTCAGGCACAGCCCATTTTCCACACGATCCTAGAGACTCACGCCAGACAGTGTGGGTGAAGGAGTGAATGCAGGCATGAAGAAGTCCCATGCAGTTTCTTTAGGGCGATATCTTTGCCAGGGACCCAGAGACAGGTAGTCATCACAGCACAGAGGGGAAAAGAAAGGCACTTTATTAAGAAGCTTTGGCCAAGGCCCTGCCAAGAGGAGCCCATCCTGGGGCCCCTGGATGGGGTGTAAGCAGCCCTGCCAGGGGCATATAAATACATCTTCTCAGGTCACCTCAGTTGTCCCTGGGATTTCCACAGTGAGTAGGGTAGTGGGAGGCTATCAATACCAGCTTGACAGCTGAGGGTGAGGCTAGGAGGCTGGAACTTGGGGTGCAAGGGAGGGGAAGGAGTGGGACAGGCTAGGAGCACTGAGCCCCCTGAGAAGCAGAGACCAGCCCTCCTCCCCAGATAGATGCCCTGGAGTCCGGCCAGTGGAGGTAGCCTTGGGCTACTATCAAGGAAGGAACCCTTCAGCCAGGAGGCGCCAGGCTCTGGGCAGTGAGGGGTAGCTTTTGGTAGAAGTGCTTTTGGTCTCAACCAATGAAAAGGTAGCCCGGGCCAAATACTGTACAGTAAGTGGTGGTCTCTAGGCAGAACTCATCTGATCGTGACCAATGAAACGTGGGTGGTCAGAGAGCTCCAAAACTTGGCCAATGAGGAGAGCCTCCAGCTAAGCGCCAGGCAGGCCTTGATCAAAAGGATGCTCCCACCGAGGAGCAGCTGCTGGGGCTTACGCCAATCAGGCACAACCTCCTGCGTGCCGCTAGGGGCCTCGGCCAAGGGGAGGTCTCCCGTGCCCAGACTGCGCGGGAGACGCCGGGGTCGCAGAACGCGGGGTGGCAAGCAACGCTGCTAAGCCATGGGAAGCTGCAGGTGTGGCAGGGCCGAGCCCCTACAGGGTGGGCGCGCCTACCCTCGGGGGCTCGCCCGCCGCTTCCCGGCTCTTCTTTCGCGGCGGCTTCTGGATAGGGGTCTTCTTTCGAGGGGTCTCGGGCGCCGGCGTGCTGGTCGCTGCCTTCTCGAGCCCCGTGACCTCGGGTGCCGGGGACACGCGGGCGGGCGAGGCTGGCGGCACCGAGCGCTTGGCCTTCTGCGGTGGCGCCGGCTTCTCCCGCGGACCTTGCGCGCCCGAGGCCGCCTCGGCGCGGCCCAGGCTGCGAGTCTTGTCGCGCAGCTCCGCCGCCAGCATGGAGGCGGCCTCGGGCGCGCTGCGCGGAGGACCACAGGCGTCCGTGGGCTCCGAGAGGCCAGGACCGCGGCCTCGCGCTCGGGCCCGGGGCGGTGAGGGCGCGACGGGAGCCAGGACCTCCTCGGCCAGCCCCGGGGGCCTCAGTGTCGTGTCGCGGGGCCGGGGGCTACTGGGCTCCTCCGGCCGCGCCGACGTGTCACTGGGTGTCCGTTTCCTCTTGCTGGGGCTGGGTGCAGGCTCCGGGCCCGGGGGCGATGGTGAGGGCGCTTGGGTCGCGGCAGCGGCGCCGTGCTTGCCATGGATCCAAGACACCTTGGGCTTGGTAGCGGGGTCCGGTGGCGGCGGCTTCCTGCGTTCAGGCGATGGCGACAGCGACAAACCCCCGGCCTCGCCCCTGGCCCGGGCCGGCCGGGCCTCCCGCCGTGCCACGCGTGCGTACAACGCCCCGCCGGGTCCCTCCACGCTGGACGCCGACCGCTCGCTGTCAGAGGACGCAGAGAGCGGAGGTGCCTCCTCTGCCGACGCCAGGGTGGTTAAGAGCGCCGGGGAAGGCACCGGCGCCTCTGCAGGAGCAGAGGGAGCCTCTGGGTCCCGGGTCTCGGCTGCCGCCTCTGACAAGCAGAGTCCGCTGGTTACCAACTACAAGAATAGCTCGGGAAGATCCAACCTACAGGCCAAACCCTCACCTTTCTTCCACTACCTGGCCCCAGGCTGTTGCTATTGCTCGGGGCACATTCATAGCACCATCCATAACTTAGTGTCCCTAGGCGTGCAGCTGACAGCTGGGAAGTGAGGAGCACGTTTTTTAGGGTCAAAGCCTAGCTTTGGCCTGACTTTGCATCCATTCTCCACCACACCCTCAGGTGCCACTATCATTAAGTCTGACCCTCTACCATTTCCCAACTGGGTTCCATTATCCGTTAAGAAGCATGGAGGAGGAGGAAGAAAGAAGAGGTGAAAGGAAGAGGAAGAAGAAGGAGAAGGAGAAAAGGAAGTGGAGGAAGAAGAGGGAAGAGGAGAAAAGAACAGAAAGAAGAGGAGGGAAAGAAGGGGAAGAAGAAAAAAGAAAGAAGAGGAGGAGGAGGAGAAAAAAAGGTTTCTGAGGCTTCGAGGTTAGTCATCTGGCTGAGGTCACCCAGTGTGGTGGTGGTGAAGGGAGAAAAGAGGCCGCCAGCACACCAGCCATTCAGGCTCCTTCCTGTTTGTGGGCTGCCCGCAAAGGTGCCCCTTCAGAACCTCTGGATCCCATTCTTGTTGCCTCTGCCATTGCCTGTTCAGGCCACAAACCTCTCTGCCCCGTTTCATCCAGAAGTGCAGCTGGCCAGTGTGTGACTGGTGACAGGAGACCCCAGCCATTTCCCTACACTGCCCAGCCTTGGGACAGCTGCACTAAGTCTAGCTCTGTGACTAACACCCATGTAACAGTGTCACCACAGTCTTAACTCTCATGCTTCGTGCTCCCACCTCTGGCACAGATCTCATAGTGGGGACACTTCACTGGACTGGAGGCTTGCCCAAGTCAGAGCATACTCACCCTCATGGGGAACACAGTACACAGGGCCTTCATCTGTGGTGTCAAAGGAGGAGAAAGAGGCTCGGGAGGACCAAGATGGTGAGGGCTGATCCAACCCTGAGGGTGGTTCCAGGAAGCTGCAGTTGAGTGTGTTGTCCAGGTCGTGATGGGCCACTGGAGGAGGAGTGAACCAGGGTCCCTGCCTTGCCCCAGACTCTGCCCTCATTGGCCAAAAGTACAAGGAGGGATTAGGACTAGCCCTACCCCAAGACTGCAGGTGGGACAAGAAATTCAACAGGTAGAGTGACACTGGACCAGGTCTGGAGAATAGGTAGTGAACCCAGTAAAGAAAGAGTGTTAGGTGTAAGTGTGTGCCGCCAGAGCTGAAAAAAGATTGGATTGGGGCTGGGGATTTAGCTCAGCGGCATAAGCACCTGCCTTGCAAGCAGGTGGTCATGAGTTCAATCCCCGGTACCGATAAAAGTTAAAAAAAAAAAAAGAAAAGAAAAAAAAAAAAAGATTGGGTTGAAGGGTTGAAAAAAGGTCAGAAAGAAGATGCCTAGAGAGGACACTTAGCTGGGACAGGCCAGCCAGGTTTCCATGCCGTGTTGTTTCAGATCCTGTCTTGCAGAACCTGGGGAGCCTTGGAGCACTGTTGAGCCCAGCTGTACAATGGTAAGACTGCCCTTTGGCTCAGCCCATCTCAGCAGTCTGTACCCTAAACCCTGGCCTGGCCTCCAGGGACCCCAGAGCTGGGTGACTGGTCATCATTCCACAGGTGGGATGTGGGATTCACAGATGCCATGCTGCTGGGCTGACCAAAGGATTTTCTCAGCTGTCTCTTTTACCTCCCAACCCTGAACCTCTTTACCCTCACTCAATCTTCAGAAACAAATAGAAAATCGAGGGAGACAGAATTCATTCTGGTGGGGTGTCAGCACACACAGGAGCAACACAGCCCCCACCCTAGGAGTCCTTGGGCAGGGAGTGAGGGGCCAGTCTGCCAATTTCCAGGTTGCAGGTCTGGGTGGTCTTTCCCTTGGGGCCACAGTATTCCCTTGAACATGGGCCCATGCATTCCCCTGCAACTCTGCACCAGCATGTATAGTATGGACTTACAGCCTAGAGCCCTAGAGCCCCAAGTATCATCTATACAACCCCGCTGCAATCACTCAGGACCCATACCTCCCACACATGCACCTAGGACTCCTGCCTTCTTCCCTAGCCTCACCCTAGCAACATCCCCTATCCTTCCCTCTGGTCGCATCTCCCCTCAGAATGCTCCCACTTCTACCCGAAGCCCTGGACTCCTTCACACCCTTTTCCCAGAAGCCTTCTGCGCCATCGGTGGGTGATTCCTTCAGTGACCTCCGCTATGAGCCCCACCTTACCTACGACTTTGGGTAACTTCTGCCTGCGCAGCGGGATCCGGGGCAGCTTCATGCTGATGCGGCTGAAGCGCCCACACAGGCGATGCGGAGCCTTCTTCCTTCCCAGCGAGAGCTCCCTGCGGGGGCAGGGCCTGAGCGAGGGGGCGGGGCGCGCACAGGGCCGGGGGTGGTTCGAGCTCGGCGGGACCCCAAACACTGGAAGGAGCGGGGCCATGCCCAGGGGCAGGCGGGGCCTGAGCGCGAGAGCGTGCATCCTGGACCACGCGGAGAACCCGGAGAACCGGAGCGGTGGCGGGCCTCACCGGCGGATCGGGTCCTTGCCACGGCAGGCGCAGCAGCAGCCGAGCAGCGAGAGGAGCAGGGCGAGCAGCGCGCCCGCGCCCATCACGCCCTTGCGCTGGTTGGTCTCTGCGGGGGAAGGGGGAACCAGGTCAGCCACGCGCCCACGCCTCCTGCATTCCCGAGACCCACGTTCCCTCCCCACTCACCCAGGTGGCAGGCACCGGTAACCGGGTCGCAGGAGTCCTCGTGGCAGCTGCAGGTCTGAGCGCAGTCCACGCCGTGGTGCCCCATCGGACACGTCATGTTACAGCTGCGGGGATACTCGGGTCAGCGTGGGCCGCCGCAATCCCCACCCCCATGACGCCTTCGCTGGCTCGGGCTCCCTAGTTTTATTCTCTAGGGACCGAAGTCCTCCTACCCTTACAGTTGGGCACATACTGAGTGATCAGTGTTTTAGAAATAAATATGAACACCGTCTGCAGCTGTGATTGCAGCCAGGCTGCAATCCCTTTTTGTGCGTGGTTGAGAAGAGGGCTGCAGGACCAGACCCTGGACTGTAAATGGAGGTCCCAGCTTGCTCTGCACCAGCCCTGGATCATCTCAGGAGCCCAGTGACCATAGGCTGAGCAAATCGTCAGATTCAAATCCAAGCATAGGCTCCAAAGTGCCTATAGTCAATCTCTAGCTGCAGTAAGAGACCAAGGCTGAGGTGACAGCCCAGCCCTGGGTCCTGCCTTGTCGGACCTTGTCTGGCTGGAGCCCTTGGTTTTTGGTGCAAATCCCATTTCTCCTTCTGAGACTCAGGAAACTCACTGGGGTCCGTGGACACCAGGGCTGCAAAGGCAGCGTCCCGACTGGAAGTCACAGTGGCCGCTGGCGCAGTCGGCGCACACGAAGGCGCAGTCCTCCCCGTAAGTGCCATTGCTGCACTTGGTCTCGCACCTTGGAATAAGGGGAGGAGATGTCAGCAGACGTGGAGGCAAACAGACTCAAAGCCCACAGAACCTTCCTCAGAGTCCTAAGGGGCTGCGCGTCTGGGCCGAGGCTGGTACCAGCTGCTCACCGGTCGCCAATCCAGCCAGCGTTGCAGCGAGTACACTTTCCGGTGACGTGGTTGCAGGCGTGCCCGTCGCGGCAGGGCGGGCAGCGGTGACCGCAGCCCTCGCCATAAAAGCCGGCGGCACATGGCTGGTCACATTTGGTTCCGTTCCAGCCGGGTTCGCACGTCAGGCAGCGGCCCTCGGCTACAGTGCACGGCTGCTGGCCTTTGCACTGGCCGCACCTTGGGAAGGGTCAGGAAGCAAGGTGGGAGGGAGCCGAACGTGCCTCCCCGCCCCCATGGGTGGCTGCCCTTTCCCCTCCCCCGCCCCCCGGGGACCCTGATCTTACCGGCGGCGACAGCCCAGGCCATAGAAGCCCGCAGGACAAGGCTCGCGACAGTACTTGCCGCGGTAGCCGGGCTCGCAGGCGCACGTGCCGTCCACGGGGTGGCAGCGGCCGCGGAAGCACTGGCAGTAACGCTCGCAGCGCGCGCCAAATGTGCGCTCGCGGCACTGGCAGCGGCCGCTCTGCTGCTCGCAGGGCGACGAGTTGCAGGCGCACTGATTGTTGCAACTGCGGCCCCACCAGCCAGCGTGGCACTGGCAGGCGCCCGTTTGCGGGTCGCAGCGCGACGTGGCGCTGCAGTAGCATGCTCTAGCGCACTGTGCGCCCCACCAGCCCGGCTCACAGCGGCAAGCGCCGCTCCGTGGGTGGCACGTGCCATGCTGGCACTGGCACGCATGCTCGCAGCGTTCGCCCCAGCGCTGCGCGTGGCAAGTACACTGGCCCGTCACGTCCTCACACTGCCCGTGCGGGTGGCAGATACACCGCTCCTTGCAGTCGGGGCCCCAGAACTGGCGCGGGCACTCTGCAGGGAGAAGGGGGTGGGAAGCTCTGGTGTCTGCGTGGGCAGCGTCCTGCACCCCATCTCCCTCTAGCCTCAGGGTACTGGCCTTCCAGGGTCATGCGGTCTCGGGATCAGGCCTCGCCCCACCCCCAGCCCTCTCCCTCCTTTTCCAATTCCCCGCCCCCTGCCCAATGTCGGCCCCGCCCCAGGCTCACTAGTGTCGCAGTTGGCACCGAAGTAGCCGTGGCGGCAGCGGCACTCGCCGGGCCGCACGCACACCTCGTTCTCTGAGCACGTAGAGTTGCCTTCGCACACCGCTGAGGACAAGAGGATCGGATAGAGCTGCCGAGGGTGTTTTCTTCCTCACCCACCCCAGCTCTGACCTCCCTCCGGGACACCCTACTCACCGATCCCACACTCGTCCCCCTGCTGTTTCCAGCCAGCGCAGCACGTGGGCGCTTGGGAGCTGCGAGCAGAGGAAGGATGGTAGAGCCTGAAACCCGCTTCCTCTAGCCCTTCCCGAGGGCCAGACTGCACCACACCGGGCTCCCCGCCTCACCCGCTTTGCTCTACCTCCCTAAAATATGCCCTGGGGAGGTGGTAACTGCGGAGCTGCCCATGGTGTGAGATTCCAGGTGCAATAGAAAGGCACAAGTTCCAGCACTCAGGCAGTGGGCATCAGAGGGAATGGGGCTCACCTCCAACAACTTCCAAGAGCTTCCCAGCTCACCCGTCCTACCATCTCCCTGGTGTCCTCCTCTCCAGTCTCTAGGCCTGTAAAAAGGGCCTCTGGGAGTCCCAGAAGGAGCAGCAACGACTTGAGGGGTAGGGAGAGGTTCCAGGGCCTTAAGCATCCAATGAAACAAGGGTCTAGAGCATCTCTCAGGATGGGGGACATGGCCAGATGGGTGTCAGGGATCCAGATAATGTGATGCAGCATCTCTGTGGTCCACCAGGACGAGCTGGACCAGAGACACTAGGGCAGACAAGTGGGTGTGTCTACAAAGAAAAGCCCACTTAGCAGAGGGGTCTCCTGGGGTGGTGGAGGCTCACCCATCTGTTAGGGGTGGAGTGGGTACACGGGGAGTCCTTCATGTGCATAAGGAAAGTAAAACTGCGAAGGCCTCAGGACATCAGGGCAAGACTTGGTGTGGAGGAAGGAGAGATCTGGAGTATCTGCTTATTCTTAATTATTTTACTCATTTAATTTTATTTGGCTTAATAAAGTATATGATGTTACCTCAGCAAAAGATATTTTTATTTTTTGGTGATTCTGGGGGTTCAAATCTAGGCCTTGGGGTTGGGTCTGTGACATTAACTCTGTGACATAAGCACCTGCCTGGCAAGCACAAGGTTGAGTTCAGTTCCCAGGGTGCGAACGCGTGTGCGTGCACACACACACACACACACACACACACACACACACACAAAATACACCAAATCTAGGCCTTGAACTCTGTAACTGGGCCAGACCCCAAAGCTCTAGGAGGCCATTTCTAACTGCAACATCAGGTGTGTTGTGCATAAAGGTGTGGGAGTCCTGCACAAGTGAAGTTTTCTTCTTTCCTTTTTTTTTTTTTTTTTGTCTTTTTTTTTTCGTTTTATCGGTACCAGGGATCGAACTCACGACTGCCTGCTTGCAAGGCAGGCGCTTATGCCGCTGAGCTAAATCCCCAGCACCACAAGTGAAGTTTTGACAGCTTCCTAAAAGGATGCCAGGCTACCCAGGGACTGAACTGCAGTGCCCACAGTTGGGGGGCAGGGAGATGAAAAGGGACAGCCATTGAAGCTACATGCTATGGTTTATAGCCGGGCCCACCGCCTCCTCCTGCCCTGCAAAAGCCTTGTGTGTTCATAAGTGGGGCTTTTGGGAGGTACCTGGGTCATGAATGTTTGACAATGGATCAAGGTTGGGTGAGCCTGGATTGGCTTCTAGCTGGGTGAAGCCTGGTGGGAAGAGGTGGGTCACTGTGAGCTGGAAGGGTGTATGTATCCAGCCTTTCTTCTCTCTTAATGCTTCTTGCTGCCTGCCTTGCCATGAGGTCTTTCTCCTCTGCCATGTCATCCTGGCTTGGAGCTAGCCGACTAGAGACTGAAATCTCTACAAACAGTGAGCTAAAATAAACCTTTCCTCCTTTAACTTGTAGGTGTTAAGGATTTTGTCCCAGCAATGAGAAAGTAGCTAAGACACTGCATGTGTTCCTAGAGCCCCATTAGACCTCCAAGAATGTTCTACTGGAATATAGCAGCCATTCACACTTTAGAGAAAAGGAGTACATGTCTTTGGAAGTATCCAAATCTAAAACCATGATGTGGTGGTGAGATGAGTTGGAAGGGGTCCTGAAGACCCTGGTGGGGTAGAACAGACTGAAAGAAAAAGCTGCAACAGGCCCATGTCATGTCCTGCATACTCCTGCTCAAGCTGCGGGAGATGCTTCCAACCATTCCCCAGCCCACAGTAAAGGCCACACTCTGGATAGGGCTCTGAGGCCCCAGGGGAGCCCCTTTTCCATTGGAAGATCTTGGTCTTCCATTAGGCCAAAGTTAGGACCTGGGGAGAAAGACCCATAAAATCCCAGATTAGGGGAATAGGCCCAGCATATTTTCCACAAAGAAAACTGGAAACCACAGATAGGAACATAATATAGGACTGGATTTTCCTCTTCCTACTGTCTCCTTTCATCCAGCCCCACCTAAGGGCTCCAAGGAACCCACGTGCAGCAAGACCTGATTCCACCAGCCCATCCTCTTCTCCTGGTGGCCTGGTCTCTGGATGGAGATCTTACCCAAATGTCCTTCCTACAAGCAACCTTGATAGGTAGCCTGCTGGGGTGGCCCCAGAAATGCTGACCATATCTACCCTGGACAGTTTGGTATGTGACTCTGTGGCTAGAATGTTGGTTTTAGGGCCACATTCAACTGGGTTTGATGCCTAGGCCTGCCATACTGGATGACTTGCTGTAGGCTCCCTAGCTATGGAACAGGGCCCATGGGTTTGGAAGGAGAATTAAGAGAGCCAAGATATGTGGTGTTTAGTACATTCTAAGAACTCCACTGAAGCTGTGGTTTACATCAGGAAGCTGAGTCCCATTTGTCATTACCCCAGCACAGTGGGCACCCATGTCTTATCGTAATAGAGCTAACAGCCACCAGCAGGACACAGCCCATTTGGGTTAACCAAAAACAAAAGCTAAATCCCAGGCCCAAATCTTTCCTTCCAGGAACAGCTAGCAGAAAAGGCCAGGCAAACCCACAAACTCAAGATCTTATAAAGGTAAGACAACAAAAGATGGCTCCAGTGGGCACGCTCTTCCTCAGTGGCGGACTTACAAATACACCTGCCCCTGGACAGTATCACTACACGGAGAAGTCACGGAGGTCTCACATTCAACTTACTTAAAACTGAACTCTTGACCTTCTCTGGAACCAAAGCCTTCTCCATCTCAGGCCATCCCTGTCCTTTCATGACCCAGGAGGCATCAGAGGCCTCTCTGACATCCACAACAGATCCATGGAGAGAAATATACCTGCTTTCTCTTCCAAACTACATCTAGAGTACAGCCAAGTCTCCCTTACCCTGCACCAGCCTCCAGAGAGTCACTTTGCACCTCATGGTGCCTCTTGACTTCCTAGCTGCCTCCCAGTGCATCTGCCACCTGGCAGCCAACCCTGGTCACATCCCACCCTTCCTCTGTGCAAAAAACCCTGGGTTCCAACTGCCTCACACAAGAAAGCCAAGGCCTCACAACAAGGAGCAGCCCCCTTGTGGCCTGCCTGGCCTCGCTCCCAGGTTCTCTTCAACCATTGCCCTCCTGGGTGCTGCACCGCCCTGAGTGGTTTATTGTGCTTTCCAGTGTGCCCTCTGGATTTGGAGCCTTGTCCCAGACACCCACAGGTTCCCTCCTCCTGTCCTGCAGGCCTGGGCTCACTCACTGTCTCCTCTGTGGGTGTCTCCAGGTTATCCTAAAACATCCCTACTCAGTGCTTCGTCCTGCCACCACCCCTGCCGCGGGTCAAACCTAGGCTCTCACCAATGCTAAGCAAATCCTCTAGTACTGAGCTGTACCCTCAGCACCCCAGCCCCAGGACTTGCTAGATGTCTAGTCTCACCTGCTTTGCTTTCTGGGGTACAAGTCTCCCCCACCACAGGCACACTCATGTCTCCCTGACCTCTTTGAAAGATAACAAGGGCAATGCCCAGACTCCACACTGGAAGTGTCCTGAGTGACTCTCCTTTCCCTAACCACATATCACAGTAACCATTCCTAAACCCCCCGAGGTGGGTTCCATCACCAACTCCATTGTACAGAAGTGGAGACAGACCCAGAGAAGTTAAGGATTTGCTGAGGTTCACACAGCTGGGCAGGGGTGGCATCAGAATCTGAAAAAACTCTGGCTCTTGGTTACAGAAACAGCCGGACTCCCGAAGGAGCTGCTAGGAGGCTCCGAAGGCTGCCGTGCTCCAGCTCCATGCTGCCACCGGATCTTCATCCCTGGACCGGGCCCCGGTTAGGGGAGGAGGACTGGGCCGGCAGACAGCAGGACGGCGACCGAGCCCTCCCCCTCTCCAGGCACGGCCTGCCCGCCCCTACCGCCGCTGCATTCCTGGGCGGCCCGAGAGGCGGCGGCGGCGGCGGCGTCGATGCGAAGCAGATGGCGGGCTGGGCCGGCCCTCGCCCGGAGGCGGGGCTCGCAGCGGGGACCCCAGTTCGAAAACCCAGCGCGGCGGCCTGATTGCCCTTGTCTATGGCGACCCCCGAGGACCTGGACTCAGCCTTCTCCGACCTTGCAGCCCAAGGCGCCCCAAGGGGACCAGCCCGGAGTCCCACGGCTGCCTCTCCCGCTGCCCGCAATATGCGCCCCGCCACCCCTAGTTCCGCCAAGGCGTTCCCACGCGCCCCCTCCTCGCCGCAGGCTGAGGCGCCCTTGACCTCGCCGTGGGCTTAGACCCGCCAACCTCAGCGTCCCTTGACGCCTGCGCCCACTCCTGGAGTCCTATCCTGGGTTCTTCGCCCTCAGATCAAGCGCCAGGGTCCGCTGCCCTCCTGCCAGGCCTGTGCTCTACCTGTCCCATACCAACCTCCCCGGCCAGATCCTCGTGGCGCCCCACAGCTGCTGCTCCTCCACGCATCCAGCGTCGCTACCCACCGCGAGGCGCCCACAGTCCCTACACCCTGCCATCCCCTGCAATCCATCATTGTCCTTTCGACTCTGATTTCTGGTCCACTTAGCGCCGGCAACTCGAAGCTTTCACCTTGGTCACCACCCTCCCTCCACCAGCGCTCTTTCTAAAACAAACCTGACCTTGCAGGTCTCGCCCGCCTGAAGACCCCTGGCTCTGGCCTCTTCTTCTTCCCTTGGACCCTCCTCCAGCCCGAGCTGAGATACTAGCGCTCCTGGCTTTTGCATATGCCATTCCTTCAGCTTGAAACACCCTTCCTCGGCTTCTCACGGCAGCCTTCACAATCCAATCCTAAAGTCCCTTTTACAGATCTTTCCTGAAGTCTTGGACACCATGTGCCACCCCCCTCGCCCCCGCACCACAGTCACTCTGCTATCTCTCCTGGTGACCTCTGGTCCAGGGTATCCTGGGATGCACCTTCGTGGCCAGGCGCCCTGGAACAGAGCGGGCGACGGCGAGGGCGGCCAGAGGGCCCCCTTTATTTAGCGTAGGGAGGTCCCGGGCGCCCCCGCCAGTGCCAGGCGCTGCCACTCCCTGTCCCCGAGCGAGCGGCCCGTTAGCTCTGTCCCCTCCCCCCGCCAGGCCCGGCTCCTACCCGGGCGCACGGCACACGTTTCGGCCGCGCGGGTTCAGCTCCTGGGGCGCCGCGGGGCCGGGCAGCAGCCAGAGTAGCAGGAGTAGCCAGAGCGGCGGCGGCGGACCCCGGGATCCCCGGCGCCGCGCCGGCCCGGCCCCCCGGGGCCCTGCGCCCTCCATGCGGCGCGGGGCAGGCGCGGGTGGGCGCGGGCGCGGGTGCGGCCGCAGCTAGAGCGGCCGGAAGCGGAGTGCGAGGCCGGGCGGGGGGCGGCAGGAGGGGCGCCGGGCCGGGCAGGAAATTCCACATCGGCTCCCTGATCCGGGGCCAGCAGCGGCCGGCCAGCGCAGCGCCCGCCCCGTGCGCCAGACCCCACCCTCCGGCCGCGCACCCGCCCCCGCCGCGGCCCCGCCCCCACCTGGCGGCGCCCGGACTCGGGCGAACTTGCAGGAGACCCTGGAGGTTTGAAGGAGCGGAAGGGGCGCCTGCCTCCCCTTCCCAGACGTCCACGGGGGAGCCGTCCCGGAGCGTTCCCGGCCGGCCAGGCCCAGGGCGGGAAGATGGGAGACAGTTGGACGTCGTCAGCCCCACTTCAAGAGCCTCATAACCGCCCTGGACCCGACGGCCCGGCCCGCAAGCGGCCCTCAGGCTCCTGGACCGCCTGGCCCCTTTCCGGAGTGTGCCTTCATCTCCTTCTCGCTCGCTCTTGGCACAATCGAAGCGCCCCAAGGACTGAGAGAGCAGGGTGCTGGCGACCTGTGGATACACTGTGTGCACCGGGCCCGGGGTGGAGAGATGGAGGTAGAAATGCCCAGGCATGGGCTGTAATGGAGTGTGGAGGTAAAAGCTGGGAGCAGTATGGAAGTCAGAATGATGCTCTGCTGCCCTCGGCCTCGTAAAGGGTCAGGGAGCCTCGGTTTAAGAACACTATGGAAATGCAGAGGGAAAAGTCCAGACGGATCCTGCTCCGAGGCTGGAGAGTGGGAACCCCGATATCAGAGGAGATAAATGGGTTAACTTGTCTCTAGCATTTCTTTCACTTTCCTTCCCCAGTACCTCACTCTCTAAATAATTCACTGCTAGCATCTTATTTTGTTTTTGTTTTTTGAATCTGGGTACCCGTTTGTAGTTCAGGCTGGTCTGGAACTATGTAGCCCAGGCCAGCCTTGAACTCACAGACATCTTCCTGCCTCAGCCTCTCCAGTACTGGAATTACAAGTGTATTTCACCACACATGGCTATAGTCATCTTTCTCAGCAAAAGGGGAACAAGAACATCAATTATAAAATTTCTTTATCAGGATGTTTTGTTTTGTTTGGACAGGGTCTCACTGTTCTGTTCAGGTTAGCCTAGCCTCAGATTTGCTATATAGCCCAGGCTGATCTGAAACTTTTGGTGAAACTCCTGCCTCAGCTTCCTGAGCGCTAGGATTATAGGCCTGTGCCACCACACCTGGCTAGTACTTTTTCCCTTAGATTCAAAGGAACCAGGATGTCTGGTGACTTTTAAATGACAGTAAGATGCTCCTTAAAAGAGCTGGTTGCTGTAGAATTAATGACCACTTTGGTGCCTACCTGGCAATGGCTAAAAAATACTTGTCCCAAATACGGTATAAACTTAGGGCCTAAGGCCCCTGGGCAGGATGGAACTTCAGCTTACCTACCCAGTGCTAGTAACACTCTCTTCTCCCATCATTCTCTTGAGTTATTAGCGTCATCAGGCCCCAAAAGAACCAAATCTTTAGGGGCCGGGGATTTAGCTCAGTAGGTATAAGCACCTGCCTGACAAGTGCAAGGTTGTGAGTTCAATCCCTGGTACCACAAAAAAAAAAAAAAAAAAGAACCAATTCTTTTTAGTTTACAACATACAAAGCCAAGGGACAATGTGGGCAGAGGCCCAGGTCCAGGGTGCCAAGAAGGAACCCTGGGTTCAGGGAGCTGTAAGGGCCAGGCTCCACTCCAGGGTCCTAGTGCAGGCAGGTTGGGCAGCCAGGTCCCAGCAAGACTGTCTTTTGGGGACTGGGGGTGGGAGGGCCTGAGCCTGGAAAGTAACAAGCTGGTGGTACAGGGAGGGATGAGGAGGAGCAGACTGGGAGGTTAGGAACTCTGGCTCAGCCCTCAGTCGTGCTGAAGGGGCTGGGAGGGAGGGGAAGTCCAACCAATGTGATCATGAATGCAAACACTTCTTGGGAACAAGTAAACAGGCCAATCACTTCTGAGCAGCTCAGCCTGGGCACTGCCCTGACCTCAGCAGTGCCCTTTCTCTGCTTGGAGGCCCCTCCCATGGAGGTTCACCATGGCTTCTGCAAACAGATCAGCACAGGTCCTTGAGGCTTGACAGGCATTGAGCCTCCCCTAGGCAGGAGGAAACACTTACCTCAGCTAGGCCAGGTTCAGGACAGGCATCTCCAAGTCCACCCACCGTTCCCCCTGCTCCTGACCCCCTCTTCGATGACCTGGATGATGTCTCCAACCCACACCCATCCCTATCCCCAGGAGCTCCTAAATATGTCAAATCTGTCAGTGTGCCACCTGGATGAGTCTTTCAAATTCACATCTGGCTGCCCCCATTGCCCTCAGCATGACTGTCAGTCTCTCAGCCTCACAGCATCCTCCATGTGGTCCAGACATTTTTTAGCATATGGTGACTGAGTGTCACAGGAAGGGACTTCATCGGTTCCAGTCACCAAGGCATCCCCTATCCCAAAGAGCTATGGGCAGAAAGAAGAAAGGGTAAACACCAGGATGAAGCTGTGGATTCCCAGGCACCCACAAGATGACTGCTTCGGAGGCAAACTGAGAAGCCTAGTTCTGGCTAATTAGTTCTGGCCAGTGTGGCTTCCTAAAGGTGCACTGGAAAGGTAAGGAGTTAGCATGAGAGCAGGGCCCGAGGGCATGGCCACAGCGGAGGGCCCAGATTGGGCTGCCTGGGCATAGTGTGGCCTCCTATACCTTATGGGCCCTTGAGGTAAGGCAGAGGCAGGCCCAGACCATGCCAGAACAAGCTATCTCCTATGCTACTCAGACTTCCATAGGCCATTCTTTTTTTTTTGTCTTTTTCTTTTTTTATCGATACTGGGGATCGAACTCACGACTGCTTGCTTGCAAGACAGGCGCTTATGCCACTGAGCTAAATCCCCAGCCCCCCAGAGGCCATTCTTTCCCCTCTGTAAATTAGAAGCTCATGGCCACATTGGCTTGGGTTGAGGTAGTGCTGGCAGTCTGAAGAGATGCTGGTCAGGCAATTCAGGCAAATTTCCTTTCCAGAAACTTCTGTGGTTCTGCAGGAATTGTTATCCTGGCCTGCCAGATGGTAGTACAGACAGGGTATGCAGGTTAACTGAAATTTACAGAACGGGGTTCCTACTCTAAGCCGGTAGCCTCCCAACTCCCACCTTTCCCTCAGGAGCAGGAGAGATGATACTACAGGATGTAGCCACACTGCCCCATTGGAAGTGACCCATTAGGGATAAGCTTGGACTTGCCACTCCAAGCTCTCTGCATGTGATGTCATTTCCTTAAAGGTCCCTAAGCCTCAAGACAGTCAAGGTCACAAACACCACCTGGGGTTAGGCACCAACTCAGGGCCTCTATCCTACAGTTCTTAGTAGGTTCAGAAAGGAGCCCAGAGCAGCTGATCACCTGCCCCTTTCCTTCTCTAATTCCTCCCACCATGGCACACACTGACTGTCCCTCTACTGTCTTCCATGCCAGGGCCCCACTGAGAAAATCTGGTGGTTCCCATGATCTGCCCACTTGGCTGTAGGACAGGGCCTTTCAGAGGTGCCAGCCTGCCCACAGAACCAGCCTGCAGCAGGGCTGGAGCTAGTGGGTGCAGACTCTGAAGCAGGCAGGCAGGAGGTGTTCAGGTGGAATAAAGCTTTGCGTGGCCTGGAAGCTGGGCCAAGTGATGAGTTTAGTGCAGCCCTGGCCTATTCACGTCAGGCCACTGGCTATGGCTGACAGCTCCAGGACAGTGAGACCCAGGCATATGTGGATAGGGGAAAGTCCCTTCCATCACTGTGCCAGCACGTGCCTTCCGACAACATGCCAGAGAGTCACCTGGTGAACCAGACAGGAGGTGGGGAGGGGCCATCCAGGCTGTGTCTTGTGATCCCCTCCTGTGACATGATGCTGACTAACTCCCTAGGCACTGAGGTGCCTGCTTCTTGACTCTGAGGCTAGGAGTTTACTCAGGCTCTCTTCCTCCAGGTTTATTTATTTATTTTTGAGGTGCCTCATGCATGGTAGGCAAGCACTGTACTGCTGAGTTCCACCTCTAGCCTTGAGAGGTTTCTAATGACCCGGACTTAAGTTCACTAGGCCCTGGTTGTCAAAAGCTGCTGAGGCAGCTGGGGTAGCCACCTGCCACCAGACCAGGGCAGGTTCCTGGCTTCCTGATGACCACTCCATGCCATTCAGTTCTGGCTGAGAGTTTAGCTTTCACAATGCAGCCGGCCTCCAAGATAACTGTGACCTTGGAAACCCACCCCCTTCCAGGATGCTGCTCAGACACACTATGTGGAAATGAACTAAGGCCATAGCCACAGGAAGACAGTTAACATCTTTTGTATAATACTTTATTCTATTTATCAACAACACAGGGTCAGAAAAACCCAATGGTAGGGATCTCTTCATCATCAGAGCCAGTCCCAAGCAACTTTTACGTGTCTTTGCTCCCTTTCTGCACTCTGGGAGCTCCCAATCACTCAGGGTCCAGCTGTTCCTGGAGCCTTGCTCTACTCACGGAAAAGAAGGGTGGGTGCCATGTGCCTTAGCGCCTCTGCCCAGGCTCCCAGTCCCCAGGTCCTGTTGGAGAATAGACCTTCTCAGCCCATCAGGGACTAGATTAGGGAAGGAGGGGGCAGTAGAGACAGGGTGATGTAAGACGCACAAAGCTCACCAAGAAGGACCAGGCCTAGTTATTCCCTCAGAGGACTATGGCCTTTTGGAAACATTTCCAAGCATGACATAAACTACAACCACGGGGTCTACACCAGCCCTTCAAACGCTGAGGGGCTGGAGTAAAGAAAGGAGTGGTTGGAGCTGGTGAGCCACGTTCTAGGGGAACTGCCGGAACCTAGGGCCAAGTGTGCTGGCCTCAACCTGTGGATCACACTGCCCTGGAAGCCTCAGCCAACCCTCCCTCTGATGCCAGGCACTGAAGTCCTAGTCCTCACTAGAGTTGTCAAACTCCTCCCAGTCTGACACACTCATCACCTCTGAGGCGAAGTCTGGGTCAGCCTGGCTGCGGTCAGGGGTCCTGCGGGGCTGCTCAAGGAGCAGGGAGCGGGGCAGGGTGAGCACACAGGCTGCCAGGCCGGAGATGGAGTTGTCCAGCTGGGGTCCCTCCTCCCAGCAGTCCTTTTCCACATCATAGATGTGCACATAGCCTGTACGACTGCCACGGTTGTGAGAGCGGCCACCCAGCACATAGATCCTGTTGTCCAGCACAGCAATGCCAGGTTCACCATGCCCAGCTGGGAGAGGGCAGACAGATGACCACTGTCCAGAGGAGCAGCTGTAGCAGGCCACCTGCAAAGCCAAGGCCAGGGTCAAGGGTTGGCACCTCCTGGGAGAGGATGCCAGTCCACTGCAGGCTAACTGACTAGGTTAGCCTTGGTCACCTGCCACTCTGACAAGCTCTCAGAAAAATGATGCAGGGCCAGCACTGCAAAAGGTCATCCATGGGCAAGATGACACTCTAACCTGCTCAGACACAGTCAGGTCTTCAGCAGGGCTACTGTAGACCTCCTGCCTGGAACAGTACCACTCCCTCCTGCCTTACTTGGGCACAGGCCAGCCTCTGGCTCCCATATGCAGGTGCCCCCCGCTCAGTTCTGTCATTTGCCATGTTCGAGGGCATTTTCCTCTCCTCCACAAGACAAGGCTGACCCCACCTAAATGTCTTACTACCTCCAGCACATCCAACACTAGTGGAGAACACAGTGTGGAAGCAGTTACTTGCTGACTAATTGTGATGACCAGTGTTTTCTATCTTTAAAACTAAACAAAGACATGAGGAAATGTTCAACTTACTAGAATCAAAGAAATGCAAAACCAAAATGTCAACTGTTAACTAACAACCACTGGGAAAGGGGAAAAACATCATGAAATCTAACGCTGATGAAGGTATGATAAAGCCACACTTGTGTGTTTCAGTCTGACACAATGTATCAGGAAAAGAATTCGGCAATGTGTATTAAGAGCCATAAAATCTTTTTTTTTTGAGATAGGGCCCCACTATGCTATTTGGACTGGCCTTGAGCTCACTGTGTAACCCAGGCTGGCCTTGAACTCATGATGATCTTCCTGCTTCAGCCTCAGGTGCTAGGATACAGGCATGTGCCACCATGCCCAGCAAAATTTTATCCTTCTGATTAATCCTTTTTGGTTCTCTAGCTTGGTAGGCAAAATAATGGCCCCTTAAAGAAGTATAGGTTCTAATCTCTGGCCTTGTGAATGTTATTTTATATGGCAAAAGTGATTTTGCAGATGGGATTAAGGGTATAGTTCTTTTTTTTTTTTTTTTTGTCTTTTTGAGACAGGGTCTCTCTATGCAGTTCAGGCTGGCCTTGAGCTCACTTTGTAGCCTAGGCTGGTCTTGAACTCGAAATGATCCTCCTGCCTCGGCCTCCCAAGTGCTGGGATTACAGGAGTGAGCCACCACGCCCGGCTTGTTTTTTTTTTTTGTGTGTGTCTTTTTCTTTTTTATTGGTACGGGGATCGAACTCACGACTGCCTGCTTGCAAGGCAGGCGCTTATGCCACTGAGCTAAATCCCCAGCCCAAGGGTATAGTTCTTGAGGTAAGGTTGTTTTGTTATGTTTTCAGTGAATTTTTAAGGTAGACCCAGTACAGAAGTCCTCTGACTTAAAATGGTTCAACGTACAGTTTTTTTAAACTTTACAAATGTACACAAGTGATATATATTCAGTAAAAACTATACTTCAGATTAGGAATTTTGGTCTTTTCAGGCTAGTGATGCTAGGCAGCATGAGTGAGCTGTAGCTAGTCAGCCACTCCATCTCGAGAGTGAACAACTGAGTCTTTTTTTGTTGCTGTTTTTTTTTGTTTCTAGACAACTGAGTCTTGACAGTGTACCATACTGCTAAACTGTAAGTTAAGTTAAATACATTGTTTGACCTAGGGTATTTCAGTTTAACATGAATCTATGAGGGCATAACCCCATTATAAATGAAGGAGCATCTATAATCATACAAGCCCTTTATAAAGGAAGGGGACAGCCAAATGAGAGGATTCTATCTATTTAAGTTGCTTTGAAGATAAGGTGTCCCTAAGTCAGGGATGGTGGCCTCTGAAGCCAAGAGGGGCCTGCAAGGAAACAGGAACTTCTACCCTGCAACTACCAGGGATGAATTATGCCAACAACAGAGAGAGGGATCCTCTCCGAGGGCTTCACTGTAGAAAAAAGGTCCAACCTGATTATACCTTGATTTAAGTCTGCCAGACTTCTGACCTACAGAACTGTGCTGCTGTGGTGACTGTTTTACCACAGAAGCATTATAGCGGTGTGCTGGCCTATGTGTGTGGGATAGGACACACTGGAATTCTAACTTCTTGTTAAAAAAAAAAAGGGAGGGAGTGGAGGAGCAGTACCGGACATAAACCTAGGGAATACTGAACTAAATCCCCAGCCCTTTGGTGTTTTGAGACAAAATCTCCCTAAGTTGTTGCCCAGACCGGGCTCAAATCTGTAGTCTTCCCCCTTCATCTGCACAAGTAGTGGGATTCAAGAGGCACCATGTCTGGCTTTCTGATCAGTTTTGCTGCCCAAGTGGGCAGCTCTGGACCTTGCTCACCTGAAGCACATCCCTTCTGTAGCCAGCGTCATTGTTGCTGCCCCCGATCACATACAGCTTGTCAAGGAGTGTGGCCATGCCATGCCAGGCTCGCCGCACTGGCCCATCAGCCAGAGTGTGCCAGGTATTGCTGCCTGGGTCATAACAGTGCGTCTCTTTCAGGTAGTCCTCCCCTCTGCGGCCGCAAGTAATGTACATCTTCCCCTCCAGTGTCGCACCTGCATGGGCATACACCTGCGTGGAGCAGCCATGACAGCAGCAGTCAGCAAAGAGGGTGCAAGAGGGCAGTGAGAAGGGTGGCCAGGCAGCCTCTGCCGAGGCCACTCCCTGCCCCAAACCTGCCTCAACTACTTCCTGAGGCTTCTGACTTTCTGACTTGCTTCTTGGGTTCTAAACAGACTGACTCTTCTACTTGGTGACCCCTGACTTCTGCCCAACAAGTGATACATCTATAGACCCAGAGTTCAAACCCCATCTTTGTCTTTCTTTTGCTCCTAAAGGAAACATCTGCTTGGAAGAATTCCATGAAAACCAAAGCATCCTTTTCAAAGCTGGTCAGGAAAAGGACACAGCATAAGGGAAAAGTGTCCCATATACAGAGACCTCAAACCCTCCTTTGCACCCACTGGCCAAGCAACTCTACCAACCTGCTGACCCAGCCCTCCATATCTGTTTGCAGACAGTACCTATCTGATACTACTTGATGTGAGCAAAACACAATAAGACAAAAAGAAAAGAAAAGAAAGGAAAAGAAATACAGTTGGCCCTCTGTATCTGCAGGATGGAAAATACTTTCACATATTGTGTCTGTACTGAACATGCATAGGCCTCTTCTTGCCATTATTCCATGAATAAGAGGTAATAACTACTCACACAACATTTGCACTGTAGTAGGTATTTAAGTAAGGTTCTATGCAAAAACTATGCTTTTCTTGCGGGGGGGGGGTCCTTTTTGAGACAGGGTTTCACTATGCAATTCAGGTTAGCCTTGAACTCACTCTGTAGGCCAGGCTGGCCTCAAACTTGCAGTGATCCTCCTGCCTCAGCGTACTGAGTACTGGGATTACAGGTGTGTACCACCAAGCCTGGGGATTGAGTGTAGGCCTTCACAATGGGGATTGAACTCACAACCTCACACTTGCCAGGCAGATACTTATGCCACTGAGCTAAATCCCTGGCCAGGCCTTCACAATTTGCTACACCTCCAGCTCTTTTTATTTATTTTTTTGAGGCACAGTCTCATTAAATTGCTCTGGCTGGGTTCAAATTTGTGATCCTCCTGCCTCAGTCTCCCAAAGTGCTAGGATTAAGGCATGTACCACCATACCTCATAAAAAATTTTCTTGTATGTTCTTGAGAGAGCATCTCGCTATGTAGCTCAGGTTGGCTTTGAACTCATGGTGATCCTCCTGCTTCAGCTTCCTAAGTGCTGGGATTACAGGCATGCACTACAGCACCTGGCCCAAAGTTTCCATTTGAAACAGTCCCAATTTACAGATTTTTCTTTTTGTGCTACATGCATTTGAAGTGAAGTCTCAAAGCTCTCCTGGCCCCACACCTTGAAGCTTTTTTTCCCTAAAAGTTTGACAGCTTTACATACTACATTTAAGTCTACAAAATATTATAATTCACTTCCAAAACCACATGTTAGTCCATCACTCGTTTTCACCTTCACAGGTTCCAGCACTGCTCTGTGCTTCTGCTCATGCTCCTCTCCGCCACCTCTTCACAATGTTCACCCAGCTTCCCCTCTTCAGGATAGACTGTGAGGCTCCTCCTGCCCCTAGAAGGTCCAGCCAGGTCCTGCAATCAGCTGATGGCCTGCTTTTCTTTTGTGCTTAGTCTCACGGACACCTTGTCAGACAGAACTTCTCCAAGCATGTGTCTTGCAAGAGCCTCCCACCTCCTTTCTTCATCCCACTTATGACTACCGTAACAACTTCACTGACTTGTGGGGTAGTTAAATCATGGTCTCTCTTGCAAGGCTGTAAACACCTTAGGAGATAAAGTTTGCTATTTCTTGTTATTATTGGATCCTAAGACTTGGTTCATATCAGGCAATTTATAGTTGCAGAAAGAACCGAAAACAAACAAGCGGAGAGGAACTGCTCAACGTGGCCATGTTAGTTGAAGACCAAGGCTGCCTTCTTGTGGCCAAGATGGAGAACTGCAGCTTCTCTTGTTGCCTCAAAGACTGGTCCATCCCCTGCCTCCACTTCTGGAGGCCCTAAATGGGATCCAGGAGCCCTCATCATTCACTAGGTCTCAAGGGCCCCTTGATCTTCACCATGAAATTGTTTCATCTTTAGGATTGCAGTAAGGAGTGCCCTCCAAAGAGGCTCCTTTCCTCCAAAGAAGATGAGCAAGCAGCAGGCCACTGCTGCAAGCGCACAGTTGTCTGTGAGGAAAGATGACAGGTCTCTGTGTTAGCTGTGCTAGTGACCTGGGTACAGAGGAGTGGGACTCATCAGGGAGATCCCATTCCTCATACTCTGAGGTCAAAGTTTCAGTTTTAGAGTGAGGAGCGACAGAGAAATGGTGGGCATTGGAAAGAGGGTCCTGCAAAGGTCCTAGAGTCAGCACAGGACAAACAAGTGTGGAACAGAGTCCTTGGCTTCCATACCATCCTCTGACTCTGGTGCTCAGGGATCCTCAAAGGCATCATCAGGCTACAGGTACTCTGCAAACAGCAATGCTGGCACTAGCAGGATGCATATCCTGTCCTCAGAGACTGAGACTTGGCAAGCAAGGGTTGGCACAGCTTCTTCCTTCCCCTGGGCCCCATGGCTCATTTTCTGGGCAGGTCCAAGTACTGGAAAGCCACAGGAAGAAGGAGAGCTGCCCTCTAAACATCTAAACATCACCTCTGCATAATGAACATAACGTTAAGCAACTTCAAATTAGAATAAATCAGTGTTTTTATATAAAGGGCTAGGAACACAGCTCAGTGGCACAAACAAGTGTGAGGTTGTGAGTTCGATCCCTGGTACGAAAAAAAAAAAGTATTTTTGTGTAAATGCACCTGATTTTTATTTGCAATATGAAGAGTAGAACCTTGAAAGCAGTTTGGCTTCTAGAAGGCCTCGTCTTCCCAGGGACCTGTGAGCACAAGTTAGTGAAACAGGTTGCTGAGAGCTCTCCTCTCCCTCAGGATCCTTCTTGTTTAATGTCCTACTTCATTTTAGCTGGGCTGGAGGACAAATACAGGAGGTTTTTGTCTACAATGAACTACAAGATTAAAGCAGTTTATGGGTCCAGGATGGCATGATACAGATCAACATGTCTAAGTATTTTGCCAAGTATGGTGGCGCATGCCTGTAATCCCAGCACTTGGGAGGCTGAGGCAGGAGGATTGCCATGAGTTTAAGCCAGCTTGGGATCTATAGTGGGTTCAAGACCAGTCCGAACTGCATAGCAAGACCCTGTCTCAAAACAAAAACAAAGATCAGCATGTGAGACTCAGGAGAGATACTGTCTGAAGAATGGGGTCTGGACCCTCAATGTGCCCACACTCTATAGGATACTGGGAGCAATGTAGGCCATGCTTCCTGGGCCTATTTTCCTGATCTTGGCCTTTACATCTGGGCCTCCAACTCCCGAACGCCCAGGGAAGGAAATCCAGAAGGTCTTCTTGGAGTGCTTCCTTACCTCCCTCTTGAGTGGAGCCACATAGGTCCAAGAATTGGTGGAAGGATCATAGCGCTCCACAGCATTCAGGTCATTGTGGTAGTCGCGTCCTGCCACGGCATAAATGTACCTGCCCACAACACACACACACAGGTCTGCGTGCTCCTGTTGCAAGGACTGGATCTGGAACCAACGGTTATGCCGAGGGTCGTACCTTTGAGGGGACATGAGGACAAAGTATAACTGACCAGCAAGCAGCTTGCCCTTTGGGCCCAGTGCCTGCTCCCACCCTTCCTGTGTGATGCAGCCCAGCCTGAATGTCCCCCACCTTGGCAGCCCCCACAAGCCATAACATATTGACCAATTGACAGCCAGCAGGATGCTACATCACAGCATGGAAGCTAAGAGCCTCTTGGATTTCTGCCCAAGATGCTGGTCTTTCCAAGTGTAACCTCTGGGACAGTTTCTAAGCCAATAGTGCACCCCAGGATACCTATCTGCTATTCCTATGCCTACCTTTATCTCATCTGTCCCCATTTAGGAAGACTCCAGATAAACCACAAACCTCATTATGTGGGGCTGCTCAGATGTACTGTCTTCATAGTAGCCATCATATCCTTAGCCTTGTCAATATCCAGCAGTGCCAGGCTTCCCTCAGCCCTGCTTCACACATCTGAAGTAACTATCTCATTTTTTATTCCACCTCTGCTAGGCTCCCAAACTGGGCATCCTGTTACCCCCAAAGTCTCCCTCCTATGAAGTGGGAATCCTCCTAACCTGCACTGTGGGCACAATGAGGGCAGGGTCCTGTAGGATTCTAGGGATACCCCATGAAGAAAAGATACAGGATGGCTTGCAAGGAGTCTCCCTTGGGCTCAGGAGGGTAGCTGGGCTGAAGCTGCCTGGAAGAACAGGATGCAATGTTGAGCAGCTCAAGCCCAAGGCCTGTGGAGAGGGGAGGGTGCTCCAGGCAAGAAGGCAGGGACACTGACCTTCGCTGAGCCTAGCCCTCTCAGGCACTATTACTGTAGTTCACTCTCCCGACAGCAGAGCCACTTCATGCCCCACAGTGCAGCTTCCCCTCATCACAGACCGTTTTTCCCTCCTTGCCAATTTTCATGAAATGGTCTAATCCCCAAGCGGTGGGCCTCATTCTCCTTCTCTGTACAGTCAAGTGTCTTCTCTCTGTCCACCCACCCTGCTTGTTCAGGCTGCCCCTTCTGGCCCTGCTTATCCACAGCAGGGATCTCAGCTGCCCAGCTCTGCCAACTATTACTCACCGTCTGTCCTGCATTGTGGACCCACTCTGCTAATGCCTTACAGCTACTTCCACTTGGCTGCTCACCTGTCCTCTACACAGCTCAGTGCTCCTTGTCCGTCTGCTCCCATCCATACCAGTGAGGTCCCAACTCAAATTTCCAAATCCAAATGCTCCGAACCCAGCATCCAAAGCTCCTCCCAGTACACAGCCCACCTTTCCTTTCTCTCCCCAACCCTATCCCTTGGGGGCTCTTCCCTTTCTCTCCGTGTCCAAACCTGGTACTCTGCAGGGCCCATGTACAATATGCAGGGAGCTGTCCTGCTGGGTGAACAGATGACCCAAAAGGGACAAGGGGCCAGGACCCATGAGCCTGAAGCCCTCATTTTTCTCCCAATCCATGTCTGGTATTTTTCTCTGGAGCAGCCACCCAGCTGCCAGCGTCTGCCCAGCTCTGATTCTGATGCTCCTTGGTCAAGGGCACATGGCCAGTTACAGCTTTTGTCATGTAAGTGCTTTCCCTTTGGCTTATACCCAGTGAAGAGATTAGTTCATTCTTCACTCAGAGTCCAAGTTAGACATGCTCTGCAGCTGCTTTTTCTTGCCACTGGCCTTTGACCAGCCCATAGGAATACAGGAAGCATGTCTGTCAGGAGGCAGGGCCACTAGCAGAGAGGACACACACCTGAGTCACGCTGACCTGCCCATCTAGCTGGGTGCAGCTGGGCATCACTTTTAATCTCTCAGCTTCTGCATTTGCCCAGTGGCCTAGAACATGTCACCAAGAATCATAAAGGACAAGAAGCATAAAAGGTTTCCTTGTTAACTTGTTAGGGGTGGGTACCTAAAAGACCAGAGTTCACTGCTACAGTCCTGTATCTCAGCACGCCATCTGGCACAGGTAGCTGTGAACTATCTGCTGAGTGAGGAAAGCATAGGAGTAAGACTACCAGTACGGAGCTCACTCATTCACTTGACAAATACCACAGCGCTCAGCATAGGGACTCCAAAGGGTCAGGGCACTGACTTCTGCTGCAGCAGGGGAAACAGAAACACAGTAAGCAAGCGCCCCACGGAATACCAGAGGCAGGTAGAGTGATCAGTCAGCAGGGCCTGGGAAGGGCAGCTATTTTCAGCAACCAGAAAAGCCCTCCTGAGACTAGAACTGGGGAATGAGCCAGTGGAAGGCGGAGCTGAGCCCAGCAGTTGGAGCTCACAGAGGTTCTGTCATTTGGTAGATGGGGGATAGTCACTGCCTTTCAGCAGATGCGCTGTGCTTCCAATAATCTGCTCTGGGCAACCATCCTATTTTCAGACTAGACCACATCTGCTCTTCCCACCAGAGGGAGACAAAACTCTCTAAATGCTTCCACTTGCTTCCTGGTCTTCTGCCCTCCATTTCTTTTCTTTTTCCTCAGACAGGGGGTCTCGCTATGTTGTACAGGCTGGCCTTGAACTCTTGGTGATCTTCCTGACCCAGCCTCCAGAAGGCTGGGATTACAGGCATGTGCCACCATGCCTGGCTGGCTGCCCTCAGTCTCTTAGGCTGAGTTCATTTGGACTTATGGCTTCATATTTAAGGAATCATACACATACGCACTTACAACACTGGACAATAATTTAGATGGAACACAAGTTTGGCGTGTTTCTTATTTCTCTCCATGTGTTTTTGTGTGTGGGGGGAGCTTCTGGGACAGAACCAAGGACCTCATACTCTACCACTGAGAAACACCTCCACCTAACTGCTGCTTTACTGAATTTCCCATTTTATGGAACAGAGCCTCAAATAGTATTTTTTTCTAAAAAAATAATAGTTTTTTTTTTTTTTTTTTAAGAGTCTCACTATGTAGTGTCAGACTGGCCTTGAGCTCATCAGGTTAGCATCAAACTCATGGTACTCCTCCTGTGTCGGCCTCTCAAGTGCTAGAATTATAGGAGTACACCATCTCACCCAGCTAGCTGAATGCCTCATAAAAATAAAAACAGCTTAATCCCTACTATGGACTGAATGTTTGTACACTCCAAAACTCCTGTGTTGAAGCCCTAATACCTAATGTGATGGTACTTGGAGATGGGGCCTTTGTGAGCTAACGAGGTCATGACAGTAGAGTACTCATGATAGGTTTAGTGCTCCTATGAAAGGAAGAGACTAGAGCCAGGCATGGCAGTGCACAACTGTAATCCCAGCACTTGGGAGGCTGAGGCAAGAGGATCAAAAGTTTTAGGCCATCCTGGGTACATAGTAAGATCTTGTTTCAAAAGACAAAAATAAAAAATAACAATAAAAGTAAGAAACTAGAGCTCACACCCTACCATGTGAAGACATAGCAAGAAAAGTCCTTTACTGGGACTGGGTCAGCAGGCACCATGATCTTAGACTTCCCAGTAACCGAACTGTGAGAAATACATGTGTTTAAGATACTCAATCTATGGTATTTGTTACAGCAGCCTGAATTGACTAAGATAGTGACTTTAATCCAGATTTTTGGCCTGCAAAACTATTGCAAACTCAGAGATACAATCTAGATTTGGTACAAAAAATGTTTTTGAATTCTTTCCTAAATTTAGGGTTTTTTTTCCTTCTGAATATCCACAACTTAAATGTTTCCATGACTGTTAATGCTTTAAAGGCTGTATTTTATGTAGAGTCAGGAATCATGGCAAGGTAAGACTGGTTACCTCTAGGTATAGCACACAATCAGTGTTTCACACTCATAGGGCTGCTCTGGAAAAAGCATTAAAAAAATGTAGGTAACTATGATCTGAATACAGGACCCTGATCTCTTCTTGTCTCTCTCTCTCTCTGGTTCAAAATATAACTCCCACACACTCCATTACTGCCATCCTTCCTCACAGAGGCCAAAATAATGGTTACCGAATTCACACCAAGATCATAGATTTTGAACCTCCAAAATTATGAGCTAAATAAACCCCTGTTCTTTATAAGTCAGTTGTCTCAGGTATTTCATTGTAATATGAAGGTGACTGATACAGTAATAGATGCAATCAAAGAAAAAATAAAAGAGAAACAATGGTGTTATGGAGGCAAATATAATTTGCTTTAAGAGATAACTTCATGGATGTGGTGGCACATCATGTCTATAATCCCAGCACTCAGCTGAGGCAGGAGAACTGTCACAGGTGAGGCCAAACTGGACTATACAGTGAGACCCTGCCTCAAGAGAAAGAAAAAAAAAGGAAACTTCACATAGGTTTTTCTGTATCAGAGCTTTATGATACAAGCTGGTAGGTACAACTCCTTTATAATTCCTTAGAATACAAACTCTAATTTACTGCAAAAACTTCCTTTCTTACACTTTGAGGGTCTACAGCAGTGATGGGGAACCTTTTTACAGCTTTTAATGATAGCTCGCTGTGGCATGCATGCCATAGGTTCACCACAACTGGTCTGTAAGTTCTAAAGTGGGTGAGCTATGAAAAAGGAAAGAGGAGAAAGAACCGAACTCTTAGAACATTCAAATTAAAGGACTACTTAGGACTGGGGATACAGCTTTGCGGTAGAGCTTTTGCTTAACATGCATGAAGTCCGAGTTTGATTCCAACAAGAGATCAAAACAAACATTCAGAGATTCATTTAGAAGTTTTGAGTTCACCAAAGATGAATGAAACTTTTCTTTTGTAGCAATGACAGGTATCAGATTAGACAGCAAGCAGGTAAGCAGGCTGTGGCCCTGCCCACCAGCTCTACCCTCTGGGTGTGCTTACCCCATGAGGTAGGTCTTGCCATCTCCACCTGTCACCACCATCCAACTCCCAAACTGGAATTTGAAACTGGAGTTATTGATCACAGGGGCAGTGTCAGTTTTATCTAGAGTTTGGCTTTGATCTTGTAGCACATGTCTACAAGAATATGATCACTGTTTTGAATGAAACTGAGATCAACAACACATAACAGGAGATCAGAATACAGGAGCAGGCAGAGCCCCCAAGAGTGACACCCCGGGACAGCCTTGTACAAAAGTCTAGCCTCCCTGCTAGGTACACAGCTACTTCTACCTTCTATTGTGGGGCAGAGATGAGGCATTCCGAAGAGCTCAGCTTTGTAGTTCTGTGGGTTTCTTTAGGTAAGAAGGCCTGGCTTTGGCCCTGCAGCTGTGAAACTGAGCCCCTAAAAGAAAGAAACTTTGAGACTGGGTCAGAGGGAAGCCAGAATCTGCCACAGCTGTATCTACTGAGCAGTATTTGGTTAGATGGGAAATGAAGGAAGTTATTTTCTCCTTTCTGAACTCTACTGTTTCTCATATTTAATCACAACATATTACTAGCAAGCTTTGTTTGAATCTTACCAGTTTAACGAAAGTGACTGCTCTTTCAAGCTAGGAGAGCAGAAATACCAGAGGAATGACCATCGCATTCTGAGTTAGGATCACTATGCTTGCTTCCTAAAGGCATAGCCAGGCCCAGATCTCACCCCAGTCCTTATCCTAGAAGACAGAACATGAACATGAATGTGAACTATGTCAATAGCTAGCTCAGGGGTGCTGGAAGCAGATGGCAATCTCTGTGAAGTCATTTTTTGTCTTGCAGGGCGAGGAGACTTCCTACACATACCAAGGTATGGTGGGTGTGTGTGTGTGTGTGTGTGTGTGCACGCACACACACACACAGGGTTGGTGGTGTGGCAGGAAACCTAGTGATAGCTAAGGTCATGGGTACTAGACTTACTGTTCCTTGCTCAGTCAAAGAAATTAACCTCTGGGATCACAGATTAGTTGACTGATAAAATTGGAGGTATTCTGCAGACTACAGCAACCCAAGAACTCATCTTAGCAAACTGCCTCCTTCCATGAAACCTTCTGCCCAGCACTTAGTTGACTATAGAGCCAGGAGGGATTTGGCAAGAGGCTAGCGAAGCTTGCTGGCCCTTCCCATTTCCCTGAGCGAGGCTGTGTACTCAGGTGGGCATAAGTCATCCTCCATCATGGAATGACAGTTAAGAGAGAAGAAACAGCAGAGCAGACCAGCAGGTAAGTAGAAACAAGATATAGCAAAACTCAGGAGTGAGCAAGATGGAGTAGCTACCCTATACAGCATGCCTCACTCCTTGTGCTAAGCCAGCCATGTACAACTCAGCACTCCTGGCAGAATGGGCAGGCTGGATCCAGGATGACTGGGTTTCTGAGAAGGACAAGGACAGAAGAAAATGAAAAGAATCTTGGTGCTCATTTCCCTTATCTCACTATGGTCTACATTCTCTGAATTCACCTGGACTTTATCCACAAAATAAGTGAACACCTAAGCCATGAACTTCAAGTAAAAAGCTAATGTGGAACCCAGGACTATGGTGAGGTGACCACCAGAACATGTCCCTGACCAGCCCATTAGCCAACAACTCTTGTACCAGAGTATCACCTGCAGACAGTTTCTGCCAAGTGCCCTTTCATACCTCCAGCATCGAGACTCAGCTCGGAATCCTTGGATGTTGTTGTCCCCTCCAATCAAATACACAAAATTATTGAGTACTGCAATGCCCTGGTTGGACATGCGGGGGGCCAAAGAGGCAGTGAAGTGCTTCCACTCTCCCAGCAGGGGATTCAGATACTTTGCCTGGTCACTGAGGACTGTGGACGGTGTAGAGTGAATGCCCCCAAAGCCCACGACACACTGGAAGTCTGAGCGTAACTCTGTCTGCGGGCTCTGCAGACTGGGCTGCAGACTCTCATTCTGATGGTACATAAGGGCGCTGGCCACCGTGTCCCTCAGTGGGCTGGGATCCAGCTTGTCATGCAGCCGCTGGAGGACGTCAGCTTCCATCAGGGGAAATCGTACTGTCTCAAGGAGTTTAGGGGGTTCGTGCAGTGAGATCTGGTCAGCCTGCACCTGCTCTAGGGTATAATGGTAGAGCAGGGCTCCCTCATACACCTCTGTCTCGCAGGACACTTCCAGGCGATTGCTGCTGAGGAGGGAGTAGACCTTGTCCAGGGGAAGCTGGCGATACTTATCAGTCCTTGAGAAGGCCACAAAGTTTTTCAGGATATAGGTGTCCAGCTGTTCGGTCAGGCGGCTCAAGTCAAAGAGCTCTGCCAGCCGGTAGACATCAAGGATGTTCTCCTCATCCACCCAGGACATGAGGAAATCACAGCAGAAATGGATAATTTCTGGGATCTGCAAAGAGAAGAACACTCATTCAAGCTGACTGACGGTGCGCTCAAGCAGTGTGATAGTAGAAATATGACTTACACGGCTGGGCCCTGCAACTGGTACCCTGGGGTGGGGGAAAAGTGGAACACACCCCCCCACACACACACACACATTTCCCAACAGATGATGGGATTACTACAGACTGACTGGGTTTAAATCCTGGCTTCAATGTGTGCCAAATAAGCCATGTATGGCATGTTCTTAACTTCTTTGAACCTCCATTTTTTCATCTATAAAATAAGTGGAGAGAAATATGTCAAGAATGAGCAGGTGCACAGGAATTACCTGACACTTAAAACATACCCTTGATATATGTCAACAGTCTTTTAGATCAAAAGTACTGACCCTCCAGAGAAGCAGGAGGTAGTATCATCAGTAACTGTGTCAGATATATCTGGTGTGGAAGGGGCCTGGGTCTCTTCCTGCCCCCACCCTAGGCCTCTCTAGAACAGTCTCCCTCCTCAAAAGTGTGAGGACTGAAAACAAGTTCCAGTGGGGGTTATGGACTCAACAATCTTTCCAGGCTTCACCAGGACCAGATCCTATGCCACCCATCACCCACACATTCAGAACTGCCAGCAGAGTATCTCCAGATACTTGACTGGCATGCATCCCAAGACCCTCACTCAAAATTCTTGTAAGGTGGCACACTGTTCTGAGTCCCCTTGACTGAGTCAAGAGACCCAGTGAACTCTCTAAGTAGGGCCCTTAGCTCTGTAGAAGCACTGATGGATGATGGGGGGGGGGGGAGGCAAGTGAGAGAATGGCACAGAAGTGAGACAGGTCTGAGAATCAGGCCACAGGGCCCTGAAGGTTGTCCAAGGACACTCTGGGATCTGATCAGCAAAGCATGACAGAAGGGAGACAAAGAGACAGGTCCAGGGATAACAAACTAGGTGCTGACTAGCTCTTTAGGAAAATAAGACTTTTAAAGCTGGGGATGTGGTAGAGTGCTTACCTAGCATACTCAAGGCCCTGGGTTCAAATCCCCAGTACTGAGAAAAAAAAGAGGAAAATAAGATTTTAGAGTTTCTCTAAAACTGGAAATATAGTTAGCCCTCCCTATTTGTATGCAGGTTCCACATACAAAGATCCAACCTACTGCAGATCTGTACACAGTGGCATATGCCCATAAATCCAACTACTTAGGAAGCTGAGGTGGGAGGATAAGAGTTTAAGTGGACTAGGTCATTTAGTGAGATTCCAGCTCAAAAATAAATGTAAAATTTATGTGGTGGGATATATACAAATACTATGCCATTTTACATGAGACTTGAACATCTTTGGATTTTTATCCTAAGGGAGTCCTGGAACCAGTTTCCCAAGGGTGGAACAATGACTATACTGGATTTATCCTGTAGCATTAACAATTGCACATATAGGAATTTTGCTAGTAGTTGAAGCTGATCAATAAACATTAAAAAAAAATTTTTTTTTAAAGTTCCAAAGATAGTTCCTACTTGCTTGCCGGGTCATATGCTTAAGGATAAAACTGTCAGAGGTGTTCCCCATCAGGGATATCTCTAGGATGCTGTTAGGTCCTAAAAGTGCTTGACCACTCATTTTATCCCACAAAAATCACTTCTGCTTTGCTTCTTCTTCCTAAAATCTAGTTTCTTAGCCAGGTATGGTGGCTCATGCCTATAATTCCAGCACTCAGAAGGCTGAGGCAGGAGGGTTGCTGCAAGTTTGAAGTCAACCTGGGCTACAAAGTGAGATCAAGGTCAGCCTGAACTACATAATGAGACTCTGTCTCAAAAAAAAAAAAAAAAATCCAGTTTCTTATATATCATATGGTTGGTTCCTGAAGACAGCAAAATGTGAGAGCCAAGAACAAGTGGGCTTGAACAGCAGCACCTTGAAAAGAACCTAGTGTCTGTACTTCCTTTTTGTTTTTAGAGAAGAGGGCTCTGTGCTGGGTGAAATCTTGCCAAGGAATTAGCGAAGAGCCATTGATGTAGGAGCCTCATCAAAAAATCAGAGAAGGGAATGCATTTGCTTAAGGTGATCCAACAAGAATAGTTTCCCTGGGATTCAGACCTAGGTGTCTGGGAACACAAAAAATATTAGATCCTAGGCTACCAAAGGACACAGCACATAGGAGCAAGCCACCAGCGGGAACCTGCTACAGGAACAGAATACTATCTGGTAGGTTTATGGACTCCATAATGCTATGCCAAGCAGAATTTGTTTTATATAATATTAAGTATTTTTAAAATGCAGTATGTCCCCTGGTTGACATGTTTTGAAATTTTGTTTTAGCCTGTTTTATCTCCTTGAAATAAAATGGAATTGGAAAAAAATGCAACATGTTAAAAACAAACCTAGCTGCTCCCACTAAGATAGCTTCTGTAGCACTGTGAATGGCCCAAGACTCCCAAGAACAATGGCCAAACCAAGTGGAAGAGACTGCATTTCTCTGAGCTGCAGGGTGGGAGGATAAAATGGTGCTAGGAAGATGATTTAGTGTCAGTATAACTCCATTATAAGTTCAAGGTCAGCTTGAAAAACTTATGGAGACACTGTCTCATAACTTAAAAATAAATTTGAAAGGGCTGCAGATGTAGGTTCAGTACTCCCTGGATCCAAACTCCAGTGCCACAAGGAAGGGGAAAAAAAAAAAAAGGAGAAAAGACAAACCAGGTGGGAGGCAGAAATGGAAGGAAGGAAGCCAGGACAAAGATAAAGAAAATGGAAACAGAGAACAAAGAGAGCTACCAGCAGGATTTGAAGAGACTGACTTGTCCTAACTTGAATATAGAAAATAAAGATGGTAAAGGAACCCAAGGGGGCAAGATTCTGAGCTCAGGGCACTGTCAGAGTGGTCAAAAGACATACAAAACAGGGAACCCGAAGCTCCAGAGAGGGAGCAGGTGTGGAGAGGGACAGTCATGCTGGCATGGGGACATGTTCTGAGGCAGCTGAGAAGCTGTGTTGGGAAGTCAGAAACCCAGATGAAGGTTCCCAAATTAACAGTGACAGGGTGGGAAGGGATAGATCTCTAAACCAAAGTACATGAGGAAAACTTTTTGCCCAATAAGCATGTATGGAATAAATAACTCCTACATATGGAGCCAACCTTAGGACAGCAGGGCACAGGGTACTATGCCAACTGAGGCCTTGAAATACCCATTATGTAGATTTTCTTACAACTGAAGTTTTTTCAAATTGTCCCAAACATGCTCTCATCTAAGAAAAGAATGATAAACTTAGCATAGCGTTTCATTTCACTTTCAAGAAAGGGGTAAGAAGTGACTCAACGTATCAAATCAACTTCTGATTGGGAGCTGAAAAGGACCTGCAGGCTCAGCCCTGTGTAACTACACTCATAGAAATTCAACTGGACCTTCTAGAGCCCAGGCCCCCTAAAGGTGTCCACTTGAAATAGCAGGGGCATGGGAGGTCCCAATTGCAGCCTCAGTAAACTTGAGCTTCTATTTAAAAAAAAAAAAGTATTTGAAAGGAAAAACGTTTTTTGGAGATGGAAGCAGGCCAGGCGTGGTGTAAGCCTATAATCCCAGCACTCAGGAGGCTAAGGAAGGAAGACTACCACAAATTCAAGGCTGGCCTGTGCTTCATGGTGAGTTCAAGACCAGCCAGTAGTACATAGCAAGACCCTATCACAAAAGAAAAAAAAAGATGGAGGAGCCAAAAATAGAGGGTGGACAGAAAGGGCGTGTGTGTGCTGCAAGGCTGGGGATGATCAGAGCTCCCAGAATTCCACAGCACACAGGCCACTGCACATATACAGCCTTGGGTCTGCCCACTTGGCTCCTGGCAGAGTGGCTAGGCCAGGAAAAGGAAGCAGCAAAAAAGTAAAGGGAAGTGGCAAGAGACCAACCCAAAAGGGACATCAGAAGCCATTCTGATTAACTCCCAAAGCTTGACACAGGGTCTTTCCCCACTCCATGGCTTACTTCACTGCTTGGTGTCCTGGCTCTCTGGGCCTACATTACTCCAATGTCACTACTCAGTGGACATCTTGTGTGTCTGAGGGTGGTGAATCTGCCTTGGTGAACAAGATGAGCCTCACCTGAAGCTGGCAGGCAGCAACCAATGTCTCCTGCACATTGCTGAGGCTGAGCTCTAGCTCAGAGGTATATATGAAATGCAGGATTTGGCACATGGCATTGTAGGACACGCCGTGGATCAGGACCTCCTCCTGCTCCATTTCCTTCAATCCCCCAGCAAACATACCTCTGCAAAGAGAAGAGAAAATGACATGGGGTTATACTGATAAGGACACAAGCTCAGGCTGAAAAGAACATTTAGAGGGAATTAAGCAGCAGTGACAAGGCTGGTACAGGAACAGATTAGCCAATAGTATGCATGTTGAAATGAGCAAACTGCCTATACACAGAAGTCAACCTACAGAAGATGCCTGACCAAGCCAGGGCAGCCATCCTAGAAACTGCTGTCTCCTTTTCCATGGTCCCCATGAATCCCACATGTGACTCATAAGGGTAGGCCTAGTTCCTGCTTGTTTGCTGTTTCACCCTTAGTTAAGTTCCTAGGTCAGACAAGCAACAACTCCAGAGCAGGTCTGAAAAGAAGTATGTTAGCAGGGAGTGGTAGTACCTGCCTGTAACCCAGCATTCTAGGAGGTGGAGGCAAGAGGATTGCAAGTTAGAGCCAGCTGGGCATCTTAGTGATTTAGTGAGACCCTATCTCAAAATATAAAACAGAAAGAGGGTTGGGGATGTAGTTCAGTGCAAAGGCTCTGGGTTCAATCCCTAATACTGCAAGAAAGAAAAAGGAAAGGAAAAAAGAAACTAACAAACAAACTGACCAACCAACAGACAGACTAGGTATTTTAGATGAGGGAAATACTGGGAAGGAACTCAAGAGGACATCTGACCTGGGATGGAGTACTAGAAGGGGCAGGCACAGGCCTTTCCCAGGAACTTAAAACCTGAGGGTGAGGCTACAGGAGAGGGGATTCCCTAGGTAAGAAGATAGGTACATAGGTACTGTGAGAAGAGTTTGGTGCTCGTGGCAGCCAAGAGGAAGTGAGCAGGTGAAGCAGAGCCAGGCAGCCTATCTCTAATACAAAGTAGATGATACAATGAAATTCAAGCTTAATAAAGCACAGATGCAGAATTTAATACCCTAAGTCAACAACTTGTTGCCCAAAGAGAGAGGGGGTAAGGGACCAGAGCTGGGGATGGGAAACCAGCTAGGCTGGAAGATCTTGAGGGTGACTCTGGCCTTGGGAGGGTGAACTAGCTGACAAGCTACAGCTAAGTTGATGGAGCACAGCAGTAAAGAACCTGCTGACAGACTGATTCCACAAGGACCCTGGAGGACCCTGGAGGACTTGTGGCCCTTTGCAAAGTGAAGCATATGGACAGGTAAGAACCTTCTATGGATAGGGTAAAATCTAGAAAGAACTGGTTTAGAGAGGGCAATTTAGTCTCCTGTGACATAGCCAGTGTGAGATGCACCAGGGACATCTGTTATGGTTGATTGTATCAACTTGAGACGTTTTAACTAAATTGGCTCAGCAATCCTATACCCTAGAACAGTTAATGAGCCATTGGTATAATGGCTAATGAGCCTGGATGGTATAAAGGAGAAATGTGAAAGGACGGATCTGCTTCTCTTTCTAGAAGAGCTCCATTCTCCACCTTCACCTCGGCCACCTTCTGGCCTCCTGCGCAGACTCTTCAGCTTCTGGTGCAGATCCTTTGACCTTCCATCACATACTCACTGGCCTCCCAGTACTGAATTGCAGAGGACACTGCAGTGAGCTCCAGACCTTGGCCTGAATCCTCCAGTGTTCAGAGAGACCCTCTGCATGCTTCCTTATCCAACTCTGTGGGTGGCCACCGTAAGGCAATCTTCTAAATTCTTACATTTGTATACCTTGTATAATACAAATTGTTTCTTTTAAACACTCACTGATATATCCAAGTGGAGACACTGATTAGGTGTTGGGAGATGAGAGACTTGTGGCCACAGCTGAAGATATTTTAATTAAATATTAATTACTTTACATTACTAGGGATTGAACCCAGGGTCTCATACATCCTAAGCAAGTGCTTTACCACCCTTTCCTAGGGGCTGATAGTCAGCAACTTTGAGATGGTAGAGAAACTACTTTTACATTTTATATTTCAACTAGGTAACATACATGGTGTTATGGGTTAAAAACTGGTGGTCAACTTAACACCAGCTGAATTAGATCAGCATGGTGCTGCGTGTATATGTTCCACCTGAGGAAAGTTGCCAGCCTAAATAGATATGTGGAAAAGAAGAGCTAGGCATTGTGGGTTTCTCTAAATGTTGCTGTCCTGAGGCATTGGTTCTCTTGGAAGAGCGTGTCATGACTAACTTCCCTAGTGAGAGTTTGACCATTGCCATCAGAGGAGCTCAGGACCTTGTTGGTGAGAGTGGTTGTGATTCACTTTGGGGGAGCTCTGGTCCTTACACTGAGCATCACTTCCTGGCTCCAGAGGGGAAGATGTGTGCTGTTTAATTTCAAGCTTTCTGGCATGTACTTGACTGTCCTTATCGTTGGAGGAGCTCGGGACCTCTGTGTCACTGAGGATGGCTGTGGTACTCTTCAGAGCAGCCTGGTTCTTATTTTGAGCATGACTTCTCAGCTCCAATGTAAAACCCTTAACCTACCAGCACAGCTCGGCCACCCTGCTGGGGCATAGACTTTCTAGCTTCCACCACTGACCTTTGGGCTTTCCCAGCAAGGAACCATAAGAGACTGATGTGAGTATTTCTTGTGGGCTCTAGACCTCCAATTGGACTCATGGGAGGCACTGTCATGGGCTCTCAGTCTTCATCTGGACTCAAGCAGGACATTGCTGTGGGATTCAAGCTCTTGGCTGAATATTCCAGATCTTTAGTGTTGTGGGCAAGTTTTCCTGCACTTTCTTGTGTTTAACTCTGAGTGACCATCATAAAATAATATTATAAATTCTGTGTCCTGATTATAATTGTTTTCCTCACAACCCCTGACTACAACACGTGGTACAAGATTTTTGTTGTATTTTTTGAGACAGGATCTGCTATGTAATCCAGGCTGGCCTTGAACTTGTAGCATTCCTCCTGCCTGACCTCCTAAGTATTGAGACTATAGGTATGTACCATCACTCCCGGCATATGGTATAAGATTTAAAATCAATGAAAAATCATGGTAAAAGTTCCCTCATAGCTTGGCTCCCAACTTTCAGCTGGTTCCCCTCCCACAGATACCCACATCTCCTCAAATGGTTGTATTTGTGTCTTATTTTATTTTTACTTTACAATACATTTTGGAAACTAATTTTTGCCCCAGTACACAGAGCTGCCTCCCTCTTTGTAAAGGCTATCCTCACTTATTTAACCTACTAGGGTCCTTTCAGGTTACTTTTTTTTTGGAGACTGTCTCACTGTGTAGTTTTGGTTGGCTTCTGAACTTACTATGTAGTCCAGGCTGGCCTAATTCCCAGAGATCATCCTGCCTCAGCTTCCCCAATGCTTGGGATTATAGGCATGCTCCACCATATCCAGTCATCCAGATTATTTCTCATCTTCCTGTTTTTCATATAATGGACAGCCTCACCCCCATGACACACTGCATCTGTGACTGTCAGTATTAATTCCCATGAACACAGCTGCTGGGATATACCTTCATACTTTGACAACACTGACTGCCTTCTTATATAAATCTCCATAGTAGGGCCAGATGCCTGCCTCCCATCCCACCTCATAAACTAGAAAGAACCAGTTCTAACTCTGCCATCACAAACAAGACAGAGCCACTTGTGGTGTCGCACACCTCTGATCCCACTACTCAGGAAGCTGAGGCAGAAGTAATTCCATGAGTTCAAGGCCAGCCTGGAATTCACAGTGTCAATTCAAGACCTGCCTGAACTACATACTTGTCTGAAAAAACAAAAACAAAACAGAAAATCCCATCACATGATCACATGTATAAAAGTCACACATAATGCTTTTTTTTGAGACAGGGTCTTCTTATGTAGTTCAGGCTGGTTTTGAACTGACATTGACTAAGTAGTCCAGGCTGGCCTAGAACTCCTGCCTTAGCTGTCGAGCAGAGGGATCATGGGCCTGCACCACTATACCTGCTATTACTTTTATAAACACTCCAAAATCTTTGCCTGTTTTCTATTAAGCTTTTTGCCCACTGCAGAGATATGCTGGGTTTTTTTGAGAAATTGAATTTTTTTCCACTTACTGATTTTTTTTTGGTCTTTTTTGAGACAGGGTCTCACTATGCAGTTCAGGCTGGCCTTGAGCTCACTTTGTAGCCCAGGCTGGTCCCGAACTCACAAGGATCCTCCTGCCTCAGCCTCCTGAGTGCTGAGATTACAGGCATGAGCCACCATGCCCAGCTCTTACTTATTGATTTTTATGATGACTTTTGCCATGAAGAAATTTGTCTTTGTTTTTTAAAGTAGTCAGATTTATCTTTTGTTTTTCTTTTTCAGTTTCTTGAGATAGGGTCTCTTTATACAGTTCATGTTGACCTTGAACTCATGGCAATCCTGCCTAGGCCTCCCAAGTGCTAGGATTGCATGTGGTACCATGCCCAGCTTTTCTTTTCTTGCCTCTGAATTTTGTGTCAAAATTAGAAAATCCTCTTTTTGAGATAAGAAAACATTTACTCATGTTTTTCTCTAGTTACTGTTTTTGGCATAAGGTAGGAAACAAAAACCTAAGTTTATATTTTTCACATAGCAACTGATTTATCTCTGCCTCTTTCCCAATATATGAGGCCAATTTTAATGAAACACCTACTGGGTTCCTGATGTTTGTAATATTTATGAATCTTCTAGCTTTTTTCTATAATCTTTTCACATCTTCCCAACAAGATGCAGGTTAAAATACTGTAGTGTCACAATATATCCAATATAGGATTTACCTTCATTTGCAACAATTTCCTGACCACTACTTGTGTATGTGTATGTGTGATATTAAGACTCAAACCCAGGGTTACACTAAGCATGTGCTCTACCACTGATGCCAAGCATGCCTAGCTCTTTAAAAAGATTTTTTTACACTTTTTATTTTGAGACAGAATCTTGCTAAGTTACTAAGTTACCCAAGCTGGGCCTGAACTTGTGATCCTCCTGCCTTAGCCTCCCAGTGTGTTGGGGTTATAAGTATGTGCCATCATGCCCTGGTTCCCTAGCCGCCTTAAAATTTTGAGACAGGGTCTTACTAGGTTGCTCAGGCTTGCCTTGAACTTGTGACTCCTCCCCCATCGCATCTTCTTAAGTAGCTGGGATCATAGGTGTGGGGCACAGTGCCTGGCACCACAACTTACTTTTTCATCTGAACTGTAAAAGCAATTCATTTAATTTCCCCCAATAAACTTTTTAAGGAACACATTAAACATCTAGATTAGGGCCGGGGATTTAGCTCAGGGTTATAAGCACCTGCCTGGCAAGCTCGAGGTCATGAGTTTAATCCCCATATCAAAAAAAAAAAAAAAAGATAAACATCTAGATTAATGTAGAAAAAGTTTGCATCTTTGCAATAGACACAGTGAACTTCTATATGTGTCCATGCACCCTTAGGGTGTCTTTGGAAGTCTCATAAGTCATCTTCCTATAGACCTCGTCTATAAATTTATCCTTACACATTTTACCAAACATGTTGCTAGTCCCTTGAAGCATTCTTCTATGCACTTTGCAGCAGCTCGAACCTTCCAGAGCTGCATTATTATTTGTATTTCCCTTGTCTGACTCCTCTAGGCAACTCTAGGATCCATGCTGCAGCAGTAGGGATAGGGACACTGTGAGCATGGATCACCTGAACAGGGCATGGGCACTTGGACTGATGCAGATATTAACATCTTACAAAAGCATCTTCTGTATGGGCCTTGAATAGAAGGGGGAGGAAGAGATAGAAGACTTTTGGAAATAATTAGGAAAACCTGAATATGGACTAAGTATCAAGGAAAATTATGAAATGAAAAAATTTTCTTGGACTCATAATGGTATTAAAGACATGTTAGAAACCAGGAGTGGTGGCACATAGTGATGAAACCTCAACTACTCAGGAGGCAGAAGGATCATTAATTTTAAGGGCATCTTAGACAACTTAGCAAGACCTCGTCTAAAATAAGAGCTGGATGTTGTGGTGTACACTTGTAATCCTAGCACTCAGGAAGATCAGCCAGAGGGATCACCATGAGTTCAAGCCCAGCCTGGACTACATAGCGAGACCCTGTCTCAAAAAATAAATAAATAAATAAAAATAAAATTTAAAAATAAAGAAATAAAAAGACTGAGGATGTAGTTCAGTTTTGTCCTAGGTTTAATCTCCAGTATATCACATAGCTGAACTATGTTAGAGGGTATCTTTAACAAAGCCACACTAAAGTAGGGATACAGTGTCATGTTGCCTGCAATTGCTCTGAAGTGAATTTATAAAATGTTGATCTAGGCCAATGGCACAGATATTCATTAACTTTATCTCTTAATTGTAATGTAGGAGCAACATTTTAAAATATAAATTAGGTAGGAAATAAAAAGAAAAATACATATGCATGCCCTCCTTTTTATTTTTAATCAAGAATAGATTTAATTCTTTATGACCCTCATTTCCCCCTCTAAAAAAAATGTCCAAATAAAAACTTAACCTGGGCATAATGCATACTTGTAATCCCAGCATTTGAGAGGCTAAGGGAGGAGGATCACAAGTTCAAGGTCAGCCTGGGTCCCAAACGGAGGGGAGAAGGATATATATTTTGAGATAATTAGGAAAATTTCAATATCAAGTGATATCATGAAATGACTACAGAATGAAAGTCTTTAAAAAGTGAAATTCTGTCATGTGCTACTAAGTGAATGAAATTTTTTTTATTTTTTTGTCTTTTTCCTTTTTATTGGACCAGGGATTGAAATCATGACTGCCTGCTTGCAAGGCAGGCGCTTATGCCACTGAGCTAAATCCCCAGCCCCTAAGTGAATGAATCTTAAGAACATTATGCTAAGTGACATAAGCCAAGTACAAAAGGATGAAGTACGATTCTATTTATGAGGTACCTAGAGCAGTCAGCTCTTTAGAAACAGAAAGTAAAATAGTGGTTACGAGGGGCTGGGGAACAGGATAAAGAACAGTTAAAAATTACAAAGTTTTAGGTCTATAATATGAAATCTGAATTTTTCATGACAATGTAAATGTACTTAATAAGCTGTACAGTTAAAAATGGTAAAAAGGATACATTTTACATGATGTATGTGTGTGTGAAGGTGTGTGTTTAAAACACAGTTTTGAATAGGATGGTCAAGGGCTGATGATGTAGCTTTGTGGTAGGGCATTTGCCTAGATTAAAGTCTGGGGTACCATTCCCAGTGTGGTGTGTGTGTTGAGTAGAACAACACAAAAAAAACTGGTTATCATGGCATTAAGGAGAAAGGTAAGGAGGCAAGATAAGCTGGCGATATTCTAGGTATATACATTTTCAACTATTCATTGTCTTTTTTGAGACAGGGTCTTACTATGCAGTTCAGGCTGGCCCTGAGCTCACTTTAGCCTAGGCTGATCTCGAACTTGCAACAGTTCTCCTTCCTCAGCCTCCCTAGTGCTGGGATTACAGACTTTCAACTATTTAAGAAATTGCACTTAGGTTTGTTTTTTGGTAATGGGGAATGATCACAGGGAAAGCTGAACTAAACTTCTAGCTTTTTTTTTTTTCCTGGTACCAGGGATCAAACTGACAACTTGCACTTGCCAGGCAAGCACTTGATTAGCTGAGCTAAATCCCCAGACTCCCAGCTCTTTTTTAAAATTTTACTTTAAGACAGTGTCTCACTCAGTTGCCTAACCTGGCCTGGAACTTGCAATCCTCTTGCCTTAGCCTGTAAAGTAGCTGGGATTACAGGAGTACACTCAACTCAAAGTTTTTTGAGACTTAGTTTTGATATGTAGTTCAAGCTGGCCTTGAACTCACCTCAATCCTCCTGCCTCAGCTTCCCAAGTGCTGAGATTGCTAGGATTATAGGCATGCAACACCATGCCCAGCTCAAAAAGTTTTTAATTGTGGAACTGCAAGCTCAATGTTATCATACTCATGCTGTATCTGTAGATATACTATGTAAATATGTATGCAGACACATCCTAGGTTATGATTACATAATTAACAATATGAATTGTAAGCTCCCTATGGTAGAGCTAATCTATCTTTCTGAGAACAATGCTCACCTGACTGGAAAGTGCTTTGAGGAATATTGTTTTATTGGTCTGAGAAAATTTAAACAGCTTTGGTGTCTGTTCCTAAAAAGCACAACTATACTGGGAAACCTCTGTGCTTTGTGTTTTTGTAGAGAATAAAAATTTTTTTCTCTTCTGGAGGTGAAATCCTGCCAATTATAATTTCTAGGTAATCATCAATTTTAGCTAAAATGTCAAAATCACAGTCACCAACTTGAGCAATACCATCCTTTACAATTCACAGACAGTATGAAAGCAATGGTAGGATACAATGACCCTGGGAGGTTGCATTTTAGGACAGAGCCCTCGGGTCCTTCAAACCCAAACAGGGGTTTGAGGCATGAGGAAGAACCAGCTCAGCTGCAAACAAGGTGAAGCAGATGAGAATAAGGTCAAGGGATCTGAAAGAGATGGGCAGTGGAAAGTCACTAACAAAAGTAAAAAAAAAAAAAAAAAAAAAAAAAAAAAAAGAAAGAAACATATCTACAATGCAGTGTAATCAGGTAACTCCCAAATCATATATTACAATCCTTTTACACCTTTAAAGTCTTCCCAAAGGGGAAAATACCTTCCTCGACAATTTTTTGAAAGGTATTGGTGGGAATCAAAACCAGGGCCTCACACATGCTATGCAAGTCTCTACCACCGAGCTATATCCCCAACTCCATATCATTTCATTTCACTTCGAGTCAAGGATCTAAGTCTCTCAGACTGGCTTCCAATTTTCAATCCTCCTGCCTCAGCCTCTCCAGCAGCTGGGATTACAGGCATGTACCACCAGGCCTAGCACTTTGTTATTTAATCTGAATCAGGTAACTTGAGTAATAAACATGATGCATCTTGAGAATAATCCATTTCTTTCATATCTACATCTAGGCTGGGACTGACCTCTCTAACAATGGCACTCTCCCTTTCCCTTCACATGGTCAGCCACACCATGGAAAAGGAGAAACCTCCTAAAAGAGGCCCATCTTGGACAGGTTGTGGGAAGGATTAGGAATCACTTGCACAAGATGTGAAAATCCTCAGAAAGCTTTTGCTCAATTAAGGAAAAGCTATATTCACACTGTACCTTCTAGGAAGAGTTATGTGATAGGGATAGCCTGAGTGGGAAGAATTGGGACATGAAGGGCTGTGACAGCGAGCCCAAGAAGTCCCCTGGCTCTGTAGCCCCCTGCCAACCAGTCTTGCACAGGCTCTAAATGGGTTGATCCTTCTGCTGGATAGGCCTGTGCTGCACCTTCCAAATGTTCTCTGCAGGTGGCGCTCTGATCCCCTACCCTGTGCACTATCTTGTATGTTATTATTTATCCCTTTTTTTTTTTTAATTGGTACCGGTGATCGAACTCATGACCGCCTGCTTGCAAGGCAGGTGCTTATGCTGCTGAGCTAAATCCCCAGCCCCCTCCTTTCTCTTTTTTTGATGTTTGTGTCCCCGTGCCCCCCCCCCCAATCGAACTTGCACTTACAAGGCAGGCACTTGTGCAGCTGAGCTAAATCCCTGACCCCTCTTTCTCTCTTTTGAGACAGGGTCTTCTTATGCAGTTCAGGCTGATCTTGAGATGACTTTGTAGCCCAGGCTACTCTTGAACTTGCAATAATCCTCTTACCTCAGCCTCCTGAGTGCTGGAATTACAAGCGTGTGCCTCAACACCTGGCTTCACTAAGTATTATGGGTTTGTTTGTTTTTAAATTTGAAGTACCAAGGATTGAACTCACAACCTTGCACTTATCAGGTAAGCACTTAAGCTACTGAGCTAAATCCCCAGCCCCTTCCCTATGCATTAAGTGGCCTAGACTGAGCTCAAATTTGCCATAATACTGTCTCAGCTTCCCAGAGTGTTGGGATTGGAGGCTTGGCCATGATGTTAAATTTATTAACAACCACAGCTAAATCTCCTAATGAACTAAAGGGTTGCTGCTGCTCCTGGACATCTACACCAAGTTACCAATGAGTCACATTCACCATGAAGCACTTAAGACACAAAGAAGTATTCTGCTTAATAGTTCCTAAAATGAAAAAATGGGAACTACTACTGAGCCCAGAAGGCAAAACAATTAAGGAGGACTGGCATGGAATGCCTGGGGTTTGAGTATTGCCATCTTGGCTGCCCCCACCCCCACCCCGGCTCATACTCTACAAAAGGAGGGTGTGGGGGCCCTCTTCTTCAGAGTGCACAGCTATACAGACAACAGGGAAATAGAGTACAGAAAATGATTTAGGTCAAGGCTACTGAGTATCTATGTGACAACCACCTGCGACAGCTAATTTTAGGTATCAACTTGATTAGAGTAAGAAAACTGGGAAAACATTTTTTCTGGGTGTTTCCAGAGGACGCTGGCTTGTAAGTTGGTGGGATGAAGGGGGAAAATTCATTCTGTGTGGCTAGGCACTTGAGGCCCACACAGAAGAAAAACAGCACAGACAAGATAAGATTTCTCTTCCGCTTCTTTTGCCTTCTTTTCTCTTTCCTCCCTGTCTCTTTATCTGTATCTCCCTCCCATCCTCTGTCTCTGGTACACTCTTTGTCACTTGCTTGTAGATATCAGAACTCAGGCTCTCAATCCTTGGCACTTTAAAGACTTATATCAACAGTTCCCCTGAGCTCCTCAGGCCTTCAGGCTCAGAATGAGAATTAAATCAAAAGTCTTTTTGGTTCTGAGGTTCTCAGACTTAAGAGTCAAGCTTGAGACGCAGCTCAGTGCTGAACTACCTACCTAGAAAATAGAAGGTTTTGGGTTCAATCCCAAGTACCAAAAAAGAAATAAGGAAAATAAAAAACCGAGCTACACGTTTGGCATCCCAAGGATTCCAGCTTACAGATGGCTTGTCACGGAACTCTTGAGAATCCAGAATGCTAATCAATACTAATCTCCTCTCACATATTTATAGACTGTTGGTTCTATCTCTCTTGAGAGTCCCAATACAACATGCTACACACTAGAATAAGATTCCAACCCAGTAAGTCAAAGAAACAAGCCAAGAGTTCTTTCCAGTGCTAATGTGAGGCCATGCAGGAAGCCATGAGAAATGCTGGAGAGGCCAGAGCCCATTGGGAGGGTCAGAAGCTGATATCTGAAGATGAAAATTGTAAGCCATAAAAAGGGTGACTCCATGTAGCTGTGTGGACAATGTGTATACAATAATAACCACCTTGCCTTGGACTTTAGCACCTGTAGGGTGCTAGAGGAATGACCAGGCTCATACAGACCTCCTAACTGGCATTACAATAATGGGGGAGTGGTTTAAAAGGTCATAATGTGTTTTTTGTTTTCAGATGGAGTTCACCCAAAAGTCAGCTGGATGGAATTCTTTATGTAGGTCAGTCTGGCTTCAAGCTCTTGATTCTCCTGCCTCAGTCTCCTAAGTGCAGTGATTTCAGGTGTCTGCCATCATATCCACCTTTAAGTGTCGTAACATCTTAGGAAAGGGTCTGTGTTTAAGAGACAGAGCAATCTAAGAGTGTTAACAATTGGTATGTATTCAGGTGTTCATCATATTGTTCTTCTTTTACATAAATTTCAAAATTTTCAAAATGAAAATGGGATGGGAATAAAATGCAGAGTAGAATAAAATACGAATCTGTTTTATTCCAAGATATTGTAGTTGTAGTCTAAGATTGACTTTATAAAACATGACACTACAAATAAAACCAAACATAATTATCTTCTTTTTTCTTTTTGGGAAGGGGGGGTTGATACAGTGTGGCCTCGAACTTGTGGTAATCCTTCTGCCTCAGTTTCTTGAGTGATGGGATTATAGATGTGTACCACCATGACCAGCCAAAGCACACTTATCTTTTGAAAAAAGATGCCAAAGATATGAGACAGCTGAAAGAAAAACACACTCTAAAACACTTCTAGTCTCACAGTTGTCACCTGCGTCTCCACAATAGGCTCCAAGGTCAGTTTGAGACCTGGCACCTTCAGTGCCAGCACACATGCCTAGAAGAGCTGAGATCACTTGTGTTATTGTCCTTGAAAAAAACAAAGAAACAGGTTAAGCAACCTACCTGAAGTAATCACAGGATGCAGCCAGGAGGATCCGATGGGCCTCAATGTGTCTCCCCTCCACCACCAGGACAACGTCAAAGAGGATCCCACTGTCTCGGAGAGCCAGCAGCCCCCGGAGCAAAGCCTGGGAGTGCTTTGTACTGCGGTAGGTATTGTTGATGCAGTGTGGGTGGGAGGGCTGTGTGGGCAACTTACAAAGCTGGGTGAACTCCTGCTCCTCTGCCATTCTGAATGCCACACCAGCCCTCACCACTGTGACCTATCTGCTGGCAAGACAGAAAGGACAATGAGTGAGCAGGTTGGTGACGCCTCTATCATACACACTGGTCTGCTGTATGCTCTGTGGCATCTGCTGCTCACTCTATTCCTGTGCCTCCCTCCAGCTCACCTGTGCCTCCCCTCTGATTCCAAGCCCTCTACTTCCTTGCCCCTTTCACTTCTGCTGCAACTTGGTCTTCTTCTTGATGACCCATGTCCCTTAATCCACAATCTTCATCCCATTTTGTCTCCTGTATTATTGAAGTAACACAGGGTTTTGGAGAGACAGACTGGTCTGAGCTGGAGACCTACCAACCAAGGATTCATACTAACACCAACCTGAGCTTTGGGTTTCTCAACTATAAAGACAAAGTCCAAAGGGCCCACCCAGAGGCTGGCAGTACAGCTCAGTGGTAGAATGTTTATCTAGCATGCACAAGGACCCAAGTTTGATGTCCTGTCCTGAAGAAAAAAAAGAAGAAGAAGAAAGGAGAGAAAAGAAAGGACAGGAGAGGGGGAAATGGAGGGAAGGAGAGAAGAAAGGGGAAAAGAAAGGAGAAGTAAAGAAATGGAGTAAGGCCTGAGTGGTGCTAAGGTTTTAGAGCCCCTTCACTGGAAGGTGGGAGCCAGGGTAGTATTTCTGGGACTCAGCTTCTCTTCTCAGGAGTTAAAAAAAAAAAAAAAGTTTGAAAATCAAGCATGGTAACTTGAATGCACTAGGGCTGGTGGACTCAAGATCATCACATCACATTTTAAGTTCACTCTTTCTAATAATTGAGTTGATATGATCGAAAACTTCAAACTGATGAAATGAGAGCCTCAGAAACCCAACCAGGAAAACAAAACTACTGCAAACACACATCTGCCACACACAGACTCTGAATAAACCAAAAAATGACCACAAACAGCCAACTGCTCTGAGATAAGGAGTCATCAGTCTGCAGGGGAGATGTTGCCAAGCTGCATTCTTTTAGCCATGGAACAATCAGTTACAGGGCCATGAATATCTGCCTTCTCCACTTTGCATCACCCCATTTTCCCCTCCCCAAAATATCTCTCTCCTTTAATTCCTATGTCTTTACAAGAGCAAAATGAAAAACGATCTTAATATAAAACTGGCCAAAAAGATACGGTCTCTCGCCTCACTGCTGAGGCTCAAGAGCACACCTCCCACCACTCACCTCCTCCTCCTCTTGGACCTGTGAGCTCTGGACTCTCTGTCTCCCATCAAACCCACTCAGTCCTTTTCAGTCTGCCTTCTACACTTGGGACCTTGGCCCACGTACCCACTCCTTCCTCCCACTCTGGACTGGCTCATTTTTCTCACCAATACCCCAGAAATGGTTAGAGCTAAGGATTATCTCAATTGACCATGTCTGGCTCAGGAATGTCTCTTGTCTGGAAACTCTGACCGATGGCAATTCTCCCTTGTCTGACTCCTTTCTAGCCTAACGCACAACTTGCTCCAGCTACCCCTTCCTCCAGGGCTGCATTCCCAATGGCACTGCCACTTCAAAACCTAGTTGAGCCAGAAGCCTTACAAGCCTTACCATGTTTATTTTTGTCACTGGTACAGCTTACCATTTCCACATCAGACACTTCCTGGTCTCAACAGTCTCTTCCTTATCAGATCCTCTGGTTCTGATTCCTGTACCTCTCCCTGATGTAGCCAACCCCTTACACCTTCCTAGTCACCATTCTTTATTTCCTTACTTCCTGCTTATTCTAAGCTCCTCTGTCCAGGCCACATGAAGGTCTTAAAATGCCCTGAGTGTGCTGATTTCTCAAGTGCTGGGCCCTCTACGTGGGTCCTTCTTGGGGCTTCTCTGTGATCTGGCTCAAAACTCTCCAGGCCTCCTTTCCTCTGCACTGTCACTGGTCCTTAGACCATAAGGGGAACTGCCATCCTCTGAACACTGTTTTCTTTCTAGGCCATCTGTTTCTCATAACCCTATACTGACACTGGTCATTACTTGTCTTCAGACTTTTCAAATTGAAGGTATTTACAAAAGTTGGTCACTTTTACCCATATCACCTTATTATGAACATAACAAACATGCCCAACCAATAGAACCTGACTTATGGACCCACAAGACGTAGGCTTCTTGAGAATTCCTGTATCACTATTAACCACCACTAACTCTGGACACCAGCTCTTCTTGCTAAATCTCAGCTTCCTCATTGCTAAGTCTCCATCCAGAACTGACTGTCCCAGCCCCCAACCTGCCTGCCAATAGAAGCATTATGTCTTGCAGGGAACTCAGCACAGCACCCAAGGCCATTGACAAGACAGGAAAGGAGATAAGATAGGATAAGGAACTTTGCAGGCTCTGGGGACATCTGGAGACACCCAAAACTTTACAATGGGACACTTCAAAGGATTCTGCCCACTGAAATGCAAGCTTTCCAGAAGCCTTTAACCACAGAGTTCACTGGATCTTCCTGCCCAATGTCCCCTGTCTTCTCTCAATCACACACTTTTCTTTGTTCAGGGCAGAAGGTCTTATCATGCTCTCTGCCTGAATTCAAGCACAATAAATTCCATGCCATGTTACCTTTACACAAGCCTGGTACTCTACTGCTTACTTACTTTACAGTTACCACCATGGAGTTGAGGGCCTCCTGTGCAGATGACTGTAAGGACTGATTGCTCCAACAGACATCAATCCCTCAAGTGAAGGGTCCCCATGGCTGTGATCACAGCAGCCCATCTACCCTCTAGTGAAGGGAGGAGTGATAGCCACCCCTAAACACCAACCACAAAAATAAGTACAGTAAAACAGGAAGACTGCTTCCTTGGGCAGGCAAAGCATATTTATCAAGCACAATTAGAGGAACTCAATTAAGTGCTGAGGGACATGCAAAGACAAAAGAACCAATTCTCTGCTATGAAGAATCACAGCCCAAAGTCAACAATATTCATCCCTGCATTTATGAAGTAAGCAATGACCAGTGCCAAAATGTTCATCTTCAGAATGGGTTTTGGGGCACAGTGCTTCAACAGAACCACAAAGTTAAAATGAGCAAATTAGAACCCATGGTATAGCCTTCAGTTTTAAAATCTCAAATGTCATGCAAAGAAAACAAATTATAGAATTAATATAGTACAACTTTTGTAAATACCTTCAATTTGAAGTCTGAAGACATGCAAAATAATATTAACCAATATTGCTCATAGATATGGCATAAAACAATCTAAACATTTATAGGAATGAGAAATGCCAAATTCAGTGTCATCATACTCTCCAGAGAGGAAAAAAGGAAATATTTAAGGGAAAAAAGTGGGTTGAAGGTATAACTTAGTGATAGAGCATTCAACTAGCATCGATGAAGTCCTGAGATTGATCTCTACCATCTCATATACACAAAAAAATAAGATGTGATAAGAATGTTATTCTATGAACTTGCTGGTAAGTTTGAGAAGTTTACAATTCTCAAGTGTATTTTTGAATACTTCATACATTCACATGATTCAAATTCAAAAGGAAAGTGTTTTATAAAACTTAAATTGCTCAGGCTAGGGATTTAACTCAGCGGCCTAAGTGTTTGCTGGGCAGGCAAGAGGTCATGAGTTGGATCCCACATACCAAAACAAACAAAAACTTAAACTGCTATTCCATCTATTGCTTAACCAGATTCTCTCCCAAGGAAACAATTCACTTTCTAGCATACCCTTTCAAAAGGCTCTACAGAGTCTCAGGTGAATATGCAAATCTACAACCTTCCTCCCCCTCTTCCATAAACTCAGGTATCTTCCTATCCCTCTCATAGTCCATTGTATGTACAAACATGGTTTACTTAACCAATTTTAACGAGACATTTGGGTTTCCTCCCATTGTTTGCTACTGCAGTGAGGCACTGAAAATCATTTAGATGTTCCATACATGCAGCGTATACCTGAGGAAAATGTTCTAGATGAACTTCTGTGTCATGTTTTGTCTTTTTTGTTTTGTTTTGTTTTTTTGTTTTGCACTGGGAATTGAACTCAGGACCTTACACTTGCCAGGTAGGGCGCTGCGAGCTGAGCTATATAGCTCTGGGTCACTATTTTTAAGGCGAGCTGAGCTATATAGCTCTGGGTCCCCGCCCTGGGTCACTATTTTTAAGGCACATTTGTTTTGAATTAAGGTCTCACTGTGTGGCCCAGGCTTGCCTCAGTTTCATGATCACCTGCTAGGTATAGTGCCACACCCCTGTAATCCCAGTACTGGAGAGGCTGAGGCAGGAGGATGGCTGTGAGTTCAAAGCTAGCCTGGGTGACACAGTGAGTTCAAAGCTAGTCTGAACTACATAGTGAGTCCCTGTGTCAAAAACAAACAAACAAACAAACAGATCCTCCTACCTTAGCCTTTCAAGTGCTGAGATTACAGGTATGCACCGTGTCAGGATCTATACTTACGATTTTAATGGACACTGCCTAATTGTCCTTCACAAAAGTTATACCAATTTATTCTTTCACCCACAAATAAGAATCTGATTCAGACCACTATTTAGTTCATCAAGAATATTTCTTCAGGGGCTGGGGATTTAGCTCAGCGGCTTAAGCGCCTGCCTTGCAAGCAAGCAGTAGTGAGTTCGATCCCTGGTACCGATAAAAAGGAAAAAAGACAAAAGAATATTTCTTTTAGGGGCTGGGGATTTAGCTCAGCGGCATAAGCGCCTGTCTTGCAAGCAGGCAGTCGTGAGTTCGATCCCTGTACCGATAAAAACGAAAAAGACAAAAAAAAAAAAAAATTTATTTTACATGTTTCGCTAAAAATACCATTGTAGTCTGTATTAATGCAACTGAAAATATTCTTTTAAGAATTAGAATATGTAGCATATCCTTCATTAGTGTTTTCTAATCCTCGTTTTTCAGTAATTAAAAAAATAATGCTCTTGAGCCAGGCGTGGTGGCTCATGCCCGTAATCCCACAGAGGTTGAGACAGGAGGATCGTTGCAAATTAGAGATCAGCCTGTGCTATGAAATAAACTCAAGGCCAGCCTGCACTGCATAGCAAGACTCTA